GCCTAAGGAGAATGAAAAGCACTTTAAATTAACTTTCTTTGTGGTTCCTTCTTTTCAACATAGTTACTAACAACAACATGGTAATAAACTACTCAAACTAAGTAGAGAACTACTAAATAACTGTTAAAGATTATTTCGCTAAACAGGGTAATGAGGAAAGTTTATACGGAGACAACATTCTTGTTCACACAAAGGAATTTGAGTCTGTTCTTTCTCCGGTGTCTGGCTTTCCTCACCAGTTTCACAACTGGGTGTGAATAGTGAGATTGTTCTTTGATGTCTGAGGTAATTTGAAAAGAGAAACCCCGTTACCATAGTTATCCTGCTCATCCAGGGGAGTGTCTGTGTGGGGGGGTCAGTTTAGAGTTTCCTGACCTCGGTCCGAAAAGGTCCTGACAGCCTAGTTCAGGATGAGGTTAGTCTCTGGAAAAGGTTAATATCGTCAGCACTCGGGGGGAGCAAACCTTTCACTTAGGGCTTGGAGCCAGCCTGTCTGGGGGGGTTATGTTGCAGCCATCCCTTTCTCTCAGGAAGAGACAAGAAAAGAGATTCTGGATTCTTCCTTTTGGCATAAAATAATTAAAGCAACACTGGCTGGTTCACTCCACATGCTTTTGGAATACATATATTCACTTCAAATGAAAATGTTAAATTAGGGGATACTTTGTACCTTTATACAGTTGGAGGATCATCCTGGTTCGACCACATCAGGGTGTGGCATTCAAAGAGAGACGAGTACAACATCCTCTTTCTGACCTACGAGGACATGGTTTTGGTAAGATGTGTTTTTTCCCTGCAGTTCTTCAGCATTTTCATGTAGCTTGGACAGTAAAATGGTGTGAGGAAGGGACACTTTTTAAATCAATCTCATACCATGAATTAATTTTTTTCTTTTGGGCCTCTGTTTCTCTTTCAGGACCTGAAGGCGGCAGTTACTAAGATCTGCATTTTCTTAGGTAAGAAACTGAGTGAAGCAGCCATTGAGCAAGTTGTAGAAAAATCTACATTCATGAACATGAAGAAAGACTCAAAAGCAAACTATGAGTTTCTGCCACAAGAGAAGCTGAAGGGAGACTTCATGCGCAAAGGTAATGTAACATAACTGCAGCTCGTGTGCAGAAACATGTAAACAGATATCAGCTCTTATTCTTGTTTTGTCATTACAGGTAAGATCGGTGACTGGAAGAACACCTTTACTGCCGCTCAGAGTGAAAGAGTGGATCAACTCCTTCAGGAGAGACTTGGTGACCTGTCTCTGAAGTTCATCTGGGAATAAGCAGAGCAGCCGCACAACTATTCACTGCCACTGTATCTGTATGTGTCTTAGATGTACATCATAAACAGTAGCTGCTAATGTGTAAACTGTTGATATGTCTCTCAAAACTCTTTCTAAATCATGTTTGGACTTCTCTGCTTGGAAAAACTGCAGCTATAAATAATAAAATAAATGCAGCTGCCAATCTGTTGTTTTTATTGAATGTGAAGTATAGTGAAAACTTTGACCTGCTCGTGGGGTGATAAAAACAATCAAGATCATGAGTATCAGAAGGCTTTATCCTCAGATATCTCTACATAATATTAATACTCACATTCCTCGAGGCACAGGCCAAGGAGGTGGAGTTGCAGCTATTTTCGACTCTAGCCTATTAATCAGCTCTAAACCTAAACCAAACTATAACTCATTTGAAACTCTTGTTCTTAGTCTTTCACACCCAAGTTGAAAATCACTGCAACCAATTCTCTTCGTTATAGTGTACCGAGCACCTGGCCCGTATTCTGAATTCTTATCTGAATTTGCAGTTTTTGTCAACTTTAGTCCTTAAAACGGACAAAGTTATTATTGTAGGGGATTTTACTATTCATGTGGACGTTGAGAATGACAGCTTTAGTACTGCGTTTATCTCTCTGTTAGATTCCATTGGCTTCTCTCAGAGTGTTCATGAACCGACTCACTGTTTTAACCACACCCTCGACCTTGTTTTGGTGTATGGTATTGAAATTGAACATTTAGTGGTGTTCCCACAGAATCCCTCTTTATCCGACCACTGTTTGATAACTTTTGAGTTTGTATTGCTGAACTACTCGCCATTGGGCAAAAATTTCTATACAAGATGTCTGTCTGATAGTGCTGTAGCTAAATTTAAGGATGCGATTCCATCAGCTCTAAATACATTATCTAGTCACAAAGTAACGGAGGACTCCTATGCTGGTTTCAGTCCCTCCCAAATCGATCATCTTGTTGATAGTGCTGCAGGCTCGCTGCGAATGACACTGGACTCTGTAGCCCCTCTAAAATAGAAAATACTAAAACAAAGACGGTTAGCTCCATGGTATAATACTGAAACTCGCAAATTAAAGCAAATATCACGGAAACTTGAGAGGAATTGGCGTTCCACCAAAGTGGAAAATTCTCGTTTAATTTGGCAAGATAGTCTTAAAACTTATAGGAAGGCCCTCCGTAATGCTAGAGCAGCGTACTACTCGTCATTAATAGAGGAAAATAGGAACAACCCCAGGTTTCTTTTCAGCACTGTAGCCAGGCTGACAGAGAGTCACAGCTCTATTGAGCCAAGTATTCCCATAGTGCTCAGTAGTTACGACTTCATGAGCTTCTTTAATGATAAAATTCTAGCTATTAGACACAAAATTCACCAAGACCTGCCCTCAACTGGCACCGACTTATCTCTTAACTCAGGAACCTTAGAAACAGTTGTAGAACCAGATACATGTTTAGACTGTTTTGCTTCCCTCAATCTTTACCAACTAACTTCAATAATTTCTTCATCTAAACAATCAATCTGCCTCTTAGACCCCATCCCGACTAGGTTGCTTAAAGATGTTTTACCCTTAGTCAGCACCTCTATACTAGATATGATCAATCTATCTTTATCAACAGGCTATGTACCACAGTACTTTAAAGTAGCTGTAATTAAACCTCTTCTGAAAAAGCCCAAACTTGATCCGGATGTTTTAGCCAACTATAGACCTATATCTAACCTTCCATTTCTCTCTAAGATCCTGGAGAAAGCAGTTGCTAAACAGCTGTGTGACTTTCTACAGAGCAATAGTTTATTTGAGGATTTTCAGTCAGGATTTAGAGCTCATCATAGCACAGAGACAGCACTGGTGAAAATTACTAACGACCTCCTTATCGCATCAGACAAAGGACTTGTCTCTGTACTGGTTTTATTAGATCTTAGTGCTGCATTTGATACCATTGACCATCAGATCCTATTGCAGAGACTGGAATATTTCATTGGCATTAAAGGAACCGCTCTAAGCTGGTTTAAGTCCTATTTATCAGATCGCTTTCAGTTTGTACATGTTAACGATGAGTCCTCCATGCATGCCAAAGGATCTGTCCTCGGACCAATCCTCTTCACTTTATATATGCTTCCTTTAGGCAATATTATCAGGAAATATTCCATAAGCTTTCATTGTTATGCAGATGATACTCAGTTATATCTCATCAGTTAGCTTCAAATGTGCCTTCAGGATGTTAAAACCTGGATGACCTGTAATTTTCTAATGTTAAACTCAGATAAAACTGAAATTATTGTTCTGGGGCCTAAGCACCTCCGTGACGCATTATCTAAAGATATAGTTTCCCTTGATGGCATCGCCCTGGCCTCCAGCACCACTGTGAGGAATCTTGGAGTTATCTTTGATCAGGACATGTCGTTCAAGTCTCACATGAAGCAAATTTCAAGGACCGCCTTTTTTCACCTGCGTAATATTGCGAAAATCAGGAACATCCTGTCTAAAAATGATGCAGAAAAACTAGTCCATGCATTTGTTACTTCTAGGCTGGATTACTGCAATTCCTTATTATCAGGCTGCTCGAAAAAGTCCGTTAAGACTCTTCAGCTGATCCAGAATGCTGCAGCACGTGTTCTGACAGGAACCAGGAAAAGAGATCATATTTCTCCTGTTTTAGCTTCTTTGCATTGGCTTCCAGTAAAATCCAGAATAGAATTTAAAATCATTCTTCTTACCTACAAAGCTCTTAATGGTCAGGCACCATCTTATCTTAAAGAGCTCATAGTACCTTACTACCCCACCAGAGCACTGCGCTCCCAGAATGCAGGGTTACTTGTGGTTCCTAGAGTCTCCAAAAGTAGACTAGGAGCCAGAGCGTTCAGCTATCAAGCTCCTCTCCTGTGGAACCAGGTTCCAGTTTGGGTTCAGGAGGCAGACACCATCTCCACATTTAAGAGTAGGCTTAAGACTTTCCTCTTTGATAAAGCTTATAGTTAGGGCTGGCTCAGGTGAGTCCTGAACCATCCCTTAGTTATGCTGCTATAGGCCTAGACTGCCGGGGGATTTCCTATGATGCACTGAGCTCCTCTCTCCTCTACTTTCTCTCCCTCTGTATGCAACCTCATCCCATTATTGCATGTTACTAACACAACTTCTCCCCTTTCTGGTAGTCTTGTGCTTTCTCGTCCCTCTCCTCTCTCCTCTTATCACTTCATGCAGGTTTTCTGGCTCTGGAGCTGTGGAGTCTGGATCTGTGGTTGCGGGTCACCTGCTGCCCCCGTGTTCCTGCTCGACACCCTCTGCTACAACGACTATTGTTGCTAGTCTTATTGTTATTATTGTTATTATAATCATTAACATTACGACTGTTACCATTAACACTACTATAAATATCTGTACCATTTTTCATTTAGTCTATAGCAACATCACCTTTACTGTCTGTACCTCTGTGTGTATATTGTGTAGGCTGCCTCCCTCCCCTCTCTCTCTCCTTCCATCCCTCACTTTTTCTCTCTGTTCCTCTCCTGCTCTCTCTCTCTCTCTCTCCTTCACCCCAACCGGTCGAGGCAGATGGCCGCCCACCCTGAGCCATGGTTCTGCTCGAGGTTTCTGCCTCTTAAAAGGAAGTTTTTCCTTGCCTCTGTCTCCTAGTGCTGCTCTTGGTGGGAACTGTTGGGCTTCTGTAAATAGCATCATAGAGTACGGTCTAGACCTGCTCTTTTATGAAAAGCGCTGTGAGATAACTGTTGTTGTGATTTGGCGCTATATAAATAAAATTGAATTGAATTGAATTGAATAATGTTTTGCAGCTAGCATGGCCAAAAATTAGGCTAAATTAGAGCCCAGGTTCACTTTGGTTACTTTCAGCAGACTTTCTATACATTAATTTTTTTGTTTAGCACATTTGTTTCCCTTTAAAATGCTGTTACCACACATGCATGGTATTGTTTCTGATTAATCATTATGTTAGTTTAACAAAATATAAAGCTACAGTTCAAGGTTGTAAAAACTAATTTCCCTATTTATATACTCAAAGGCAGAAAATGTAAAATAGAAACATGTAATGCAATCTATTTAAAAGTGATTTGATCCTAACTCATACTGTTTTTTTAATTGAAAACCTTTATATTTGCTATATTTAAAGCTTCCTGTTGGTGGTAGTGTCTCCTCACCTGTCAGTATTTCATAGGTCTATACATGAAGCCAGTACACAGGCATAAATCAAAGTCCAAAGTCCAGCTATTATACCTGTGAGCTGTGAGGCTTTTCCACTCTTCTTCGGTCCCTTATGCAAATGTTTTACTCTGATTATTCTGTGTGATTCAGAAGTAACATGGAGCAGATCACCAACTTTCTCTGCAGGTATAAAAACTACAACTTTCCAATCGGTTTCACAACTGCAGAGTACATTGATTCACTCCAGAGCTTTGAAATACGAGATAGTGACATATTCCTCGTCACTTATCTAAAGTCAGGTCAGCGAGACAAACTCTTCCGTATCACATTATTTGCTTTTACAGTTTTGTACTGGCTAGGAGAATATTTAAAAATCAGGTATGAGGTCTCATAATTTAACATATGTCCCTATACAGGAACTATATGGACTCAACAGATCATCATCTCCATCTGTGAGTTAGATGGGAGTCTGAATGAGTATCCAAACAACTTGGAACAGATGCCGTGGCTGGAGTACAGGCAGGCTCAAGAAGATTATGCACTACGACCCTCTCCACGGCTCTTCACCTCTCACCTTACCCCGGCTCTCATGCCTCCAGGACTGAAGGACAAGAAAGCTAAGGTCAGTGTTTCATGTTATCCCAATTGTTGATATATAATATTTCTTAAGGGGCTTTGTTAATGTAACAGGGAAAGGTAAGACAGGTCCAGCTTAGAGAAATTTAGTGTGTTTTTGGACATTCTAGCTTAAGGTATTTCTCAGCAGAGAAACCTACAGGCACTAGGGGGGGACAGAAACATAAAAGGGATCAAAAGACATTATTCTTCAGATTTGGTGTTGGCATTTGACGTGTTCACATGTTGTATGCTCGCACTGTGTCTCCTCGGCCGGGCTCAATAACAATGCAATGTTAAGTCTTCATCAGTCTCCGAAACTTCTTCACACCTGAACTTGGCTCATAATAATTCTTCAACACCAATCCTGCCACGAAAAGTTTAAAAGTGATAAATCTATCTATCTATCTGGATTGAAGAATAGAGCAAGCGAGAGAGAGATATTAATCCCCCTCTCACTACTTGTGGGGTGATATGTGTTGTCCTCAAGGTGGGAGTTTGAGGATTCTGTGCAGTATCTTAGCTGTTCCTAGGACTGCACTCTTCTGGACAGACACTTCAGATGTTGTACCTGGAATCTGCCGGAGCCACTCTCCCAGTTTGGGGGTCACAGTCCCCAGTGCTCCAATTACTGCTGGCACCACTGTTGTTTTTACTCTCCACATCTTTTCTAGTTCCTCTTTCAGACCTTGGTATTTTTCGAGCTTCTTGTCTTCCTTCTTCTTGATGTTGCTGTTGCTTGGGATCACTACATCTATCACTGCTGCCCTCTTCTGCTGTTTGTCAACACAATGTCTGGTTGGTTAGTCAACACCAGTTTGTTAGTTTGGATCTTGAAGTCCCACAGGATCTTAGCTCGGCCACTCTCAACTACTTTATTCTGTGTATGTATTTGGCTGTGGCTGACTTCCTTGCTGCCTCCTCATGGTTTGCCTGCAGGATCTCAAGGTGTTTGTAGCTTTCTGGATTATCTGCATGGTTACCTTCTGGTAGTTTAACCCCCACAGTTTTGAATGTTTTCCTCTTTTTGATACCATCCGAGCACACTTGTCCAGTCCGAATGACATTCCAGTGTCGTTGCTGTAGATCCTGGTAGTGTGGATCAGGGAATCCTGGCATACAGCTTGATTTCATCCATGTAGAGGAGGTGACTGATGGTTGTTCCACTTCAGAATCGGTATCTGTGGCCAGTCTTTGTGATGATCTGGGTCAGGGGGTTTATATGCAAAACATCAGCGGGGATAGTGCATCACCTTGGTATATGCCACACTTAATGGTGACTTCTGCAGTTGGCTCTGAGTTGGCTACCAGACCTTTTTTCCACAGCACCAATGATTTCTTGATGAAAGCTATTAGTGTCCTGTTGATCTTGTACATTTTCAAGCATTCCAGTATCCATGTAAGTGACACTAAGTTGTAGGCTTTTTTGTAGTCAATCCAGACGGTGCACAGGTTGGTCTGCCTGGTCTTGCAATCTTGAGTGACTGCTCTATTGACCAGTAGCTGGTGCTTGGCTCCCCAGGTATTATTGTCAATTCCCTTATGGGCCCTTGTTGTGAATTATTTTGGAGCATTATAGCCTAAATTGTTATCATTAATTACTAGAGCAATGGTGGTCTACATTTTCATCATTTAAAGTGTTATTTTATAGTGTAAAGTTAGGATCACAGTGTTAAAACTGTATAGCTCAGAGTGTATGTGCTCCTTTCTGTATCTAACTGCCCAGGGTCAGCAGTAGCACATGTGTGTGTGTGAGCAAGCTCGTGTGCTTTGGGAGCAAAGGGAGGGAGCACAGTAAGATCAAAAACAATTGCAAAGGAAAATGTAGAAGCAGATTTTGTGAAAACTGTATTACAAAACATACATCACTATAGGTATATCTAATTGGTGTCTGTATTTGTTGATAATAAAAATGTTGGTAAAAGTTCAAGCTTTCTTATCTGGCCAAAGTCTTGATTTTTTACCCGACATTACTTGTCACAACTGTGTGTATTTCATGTTAGTTAAGGTGCGCTTTGAGTGTTTAACTGTTCGCTTTGAGTGTAAATCACGCAGGCTCATTGAGGATAATGAGTAAAAAGACTTTAGGCTTAGAGTTTTCGAAGGAAAAAGAGTTATCCAGCTGCTCGTGAATACCGCTGTCTTGAGGATCGCAGAGTTTCGACTGAGTGTCGAGGCGCTTCGATTATCAGGTCAGGGCTGAATAGGCGAAGTGAGCTGACGAAGAGATGAGGATCTAAGCCCTTGCGGATACCGCTGACTTGGAAAATGCAGAGTCACAGCTAAGTGCTGGGGTGCTTCAATCACTAGGTCAGGGCTGAAATGGGCAAGTAGGCTAATAAGACTGTCATCTCGCGGCTACCGCTAACTTATATCGCGGGATTTCAACCGAATGTTGGTGCTCTTTGATGGTATGTTAGGACTGCACGGGCAGATGTACTGCAGCACATTACCGCTAGGAGTCTAAAATAGGACTGCGGCAGGATAGGAGAATACAGCATGCTTAAAAGAAAAAGAAATTTACGCTCTCATGTTGAGGAAGTGGATTGAGAGGCTATTTGTGTGTAGACTGGTTCTGTGTTGAGTAAGCTGTATCAGTTCAGTCCATTAAAAACCTAGGCCAGTAGGGACTGGCAGGAGTCAGAGTGTTAGAGAAACGTACGTGCATGTAAATATTGCTAAAAATATAGTCGATAGCTGTGTGTTAAAAAGTACATATAAATGTTAAAACACTGAGTACCAAGGCCTAAAATAATAACACTAAGAGTTTGAGTCTTGAAGCCTCATGTTTAAGACCATTAGATAAAAAGTATAAAATAATGATAGTTGAATAACTGATCTAATATTAAACTAATATAAAGCTTAAGGATAATAGATGAATAGAGCTGATATAGCGATATAAAAAGTAGAAGAAATTGATGGAAGCAGTTATAAAGTAATAGATATATCAATATATATTGATAAAATAGTTAATATGGACTAGTATAGTGTGAAAGACGACTTTGATATAGTCTCTGATCGAATTGTGATATAGTTATGTGCAAAATTAAGTTCTGAAGTGGTAGTCCTCGCCCGAATAATGGAGACTGAATGAGAAAAAGAAAAAAGGAGGTTTGCTCACACTCAACAGAGAGTGCAGCGTGTGAGGGGCACAGAGCAGGAGCTGAGGTGCAGCTGTGTCTGTGTGAGTGTGAGTGTCCGTGTGGGGGAGGACAGCAGGCTGAGAGAGAGAAAAAGAAAGCAGTACAGCCCTAAACTAAAGTTATATGAGAGTTTTGTGATCTGTTGCACCTTTATAGTATAACAACAGCACGTTATAACAAGTTACTCATGAGTCATTAGTAAACTAGTAGTTTACTAATAACTTTTTTTTTAACCAATAACAGCCTGACAGTAAGCAGATTAGTAAAAGAATGGCAATGACCGCAGGATACGAAAAAGAAAAGTGTAGTTGAAACAGCCTACTAAAGTATTATGATAATAAAGGAAATTTAGTTCAGAATAACAGGCTGAAGACACTTTTTGGAGCAAACTTGGGATAAGGAGGGTACAGAGCACAGGTGAGAGGAGCAGGAACTGATAGGATAGCAGGATCTGATAAAGTTTGCACATTTATTGAAACATAGAAGTACAGATTGATAGGCAACAACATGAGGTATTATCTATGAAGGATTTACACTAGAGAAGGGATTGAGAGACATGAATTTTGTTTTGGATGTGAGAAAATCAATTTGATATTTTAATAGTTGTGAGTTTCTCAAGTATGGATTCAGTCACTGAAGTTAGTTATTTTTAGTAAACTCTGCTTTGATGATTTTTCAGTTGAATAGCTCCTTGATATAAAAAAGAAGGGGAGCTGCCTGCGTTTCTTTAAATGAATTGTTTCATTCTAGTTTCTTCGTTGTGTGGCTTAAAAATTTTCTTTTTAGAGGTGTCAAAGCCGTCCAAATTCCAAAGTTTCCAGAGATTAAATGTTTGCTTGTAGTGAGTGTGCGATGGTTGTCCTGGGAGGCACACAGCAGGTGAAATTAAAGGATAAAGAGCACAAAAAAGATAAATTAACTACAAAGGTGGTCAAAGGAGGGAGCTGTGGCAGCAACATATGTGGTAACAGCACAACTAAGTAGTTAAAGATAAAATAAAAGTTAAAACAGGTGGAAGAAAGACAACAGTCTGCCTGCAGACCAAGGCACCTGCAGAGCACAACAAACCATGAGACATGACGACAGCGAGACGGAGCTACAATGTACAAGATGGCAGCGCTGAAGTTTCATGCTAGAAGAAGAAGGCGAGAGAGCAGCTTCAAAATGGACACAGAAAAAAGCTTCAAAATGGACAGAATCTGACTGTGAGAAAGAGAGGGAGGGCCACAAACGAGCGGTGATACAGGAGGCGTTCCACAGAGAGGCGTTCACAGACGCATCACAGACCCAAGCCCACCTCCACTGACGTCAGCATCTTCCCAATGCTGAGGACGCAGCCCGTCAGACCACCCCTACCATCTACAGTTGAATCACAAAAAGGACAACACCATCTTAAAGACTGTGAACCTAACAGCACAAAGTTTAAAAGGTGAAGAAGGCTTCACAGTGAAAATGAACTTCAGACAAAATGCTCTCACATGTGACCAAGTGCTGACAGAAACATCACCAAAGGAAGAGCTCTCTGTCTCACTATGATCAACATTACAAATGGTCAGACTGTCAGAGGCCTTGAAAACTGCAACATTTGCTGAAAAAGAACTGTTTGAAGACTGACCTCGAAAGAGTTTGGGAGTAGGAGTGTTGATAATTTGTAGGAGAAAAAAAAAATAGAAAGATAGGGGAAGAAAAAAGAAAATAGGGACTGATGTTAAATCCAAAAAAGACAGAAAAAGAATAAGGTTAGCTCAGGAGCTATAAAATAGCAAGATATGTCATTAAAAATTGATTAATTAACACAAATATACTGAGTTAATAACTTTGGTGTCCTACTCTCCTCCAGCAGCCTCCTGTTACTGAATCTCAGCAAAAAGGGATCAGAACATCAAGCATTCCTTGTGTTTTTAAACAGAGTTTTAGGAAAAGGGGATCTAGTGGGATTAATTTTATATTATAATTGTTAGAGATCACTGTCTGCTCTGGATTTGTGCAGAGGAACAGCCAGCGCAGAGCTCCTCGGTGTAGCAGATACAATGACAGGCAACCTTGATGGCTGAAAGGAGAAGCTTCATTGAAGCCTTATAAAGCAATTTCAGCAGCACGAAAAAGATTGATATTTTCCTCACAGATATAGACAACAGTTAAGTCTCCAAACTACAAACAGTAGGATAAAGCTCACTTATTGGTAATAGTAAGATACAGTTGCAAGCAAGGTAAATACTTCTTGACGGCCAGTCAAAGACAAGTGGAGGCCACTCTCCTATGAGGCCTCGTGAGCCAGACGCAGCAGCAGGCAAGATCAAGCGCGACCTGCACCACCACAGAGACAACTTTGACAATCACCAGCTATGAGTCCAAGTGAACCAGCAAAGGCAAGAACAAGACTGAAACTACAAACGACTGAGCGCCCTCAAATTGGTACCCAGTCTGTTCCCCAAGAAACCTGAGTGCCAAAATAAGTTCCACAGTGCCACGGACTAAACTTTCAAAATGGACATCATACATGTTTATCGGACATCATGCACCATTCTGGAGTGTCACATGAATGATTGTCAAAACACTGTTATGTCTGGTTACTGTATTGTTACACAGAAGGTTCACTGTGCACCCTGTGATTGTTTTGATATACAATGTGTGCCTTTCAACACATTAGGTGTTGTTATAATTGTTAGCTTGCTAAACTATATAAGAAAAGAACAGCTCACTGCATAAGATATTATTTGTTTCACGAGTGTAAACCATTTACAAGGTATATCTCACTATATTATAGCAAGTATAGTTAGTTTAATATGTTAAGCTCATTTAAAGGGAAACTCATTTAAGCGTAATAAGGAGGAGTAATGGAAATCCTTGTCTTTATAACTTGCTCAAATGTGTTAGCAACAGAAACAGCCCACCGCATGATTATTGATTATTTCACAACGTGTAAACACTAATTTAGGTATTTTCTTGAAGGTCTGCAAGTCTGAGGAATAAGTTTCAGATCTTCAAATACAACAGGTTGCCCACTTTGAGTGGTCACAGTGTTGGTGTATAATTTACAGCCTCAGAGGAGGGAGTGTTGTGAAAAATGGGGCTCTATTTGCACCAATCTCTGACACACTCCGGTGGAATTTTTATATTCTAATTGGTGTCTGTTTTTGTTGATAATAAAAATGTTGGTAAAAGTTCAAGCTTTCTTATCTGGCCCAATTCTTGAATTTTTACATGACATTACCCTGTCCATTTATTGAGCCATGTGCCTACTCATTTTACCCACTGTGATGCCTGAAAGGAGCTTCCATGTTCTGCAGAAGAAGGTTATTGGCCAGTAGGTGGATGGGATTGTTCCCTTCTGGGGATCCTTCATGATCAGTACTGTCTGTCCTTTCATGATCAGTACTGTCTGTCCTTGGGTTAACCATTATGGATGGGTCCCATTCATTTGCAGTTGGTTAATTTGTGCTTCCAGGCTTTCTTGGAGTGCAGTTAGTTTCTTCAGCCAATATGCATGGTCAGGTCATTTCAGGGTCTGGTGCTGTCCAGCTCTTCATACCTGAAACACTTTCTTTGATGTCTGGCAATATAATAGTTACTTGATCTTGTTCTGGGAGATTGCTATGATCTGTTCTTTGATCCCCTGGCAACTGAGCATTGGTGTTATGTGATGCCTCCTTCTCCCATATGTTCTTCCAGTACTGTTCACTCTCAGCCCTGGGTGGATCTGTTTCTGTATTATTACCCTGCCACTGAGTTCTCCCGTGAATTTCGACAGGTGGGTAGTCAGAGTGGAGAGTCTTTGTTTGGTAGTCTCCATTGCCTCAGGTATAGACTGTTTGTATGCAATGGTCATTCTTGTTTTCAAATAAACACCCAAGGCAAGCACTTTGATATCAATGTCAGAAAAGAAAAGAAAAAGTTCCCAGAGCACAAGGTCCCATTGCAATTTTTGTTCAACCAACAGTCCAAAGCCCAAAGATATTCAATTTACTATAATGTAAAACAGGGGAAAGCAAAAAAAAAAAGAAATTCACATTTGAGATTATGTTTGGCCATTCTGACAATAATAATTATTACTTATGCTATTGATAATTACCAAAATAGTTCAAATTATTTCTGTGGATCGGCTATTTAATGAATTGATTAATCATTACCATTGTAATTATGAGATACAAGTCCAAATTTGTAATTTAGCAATCTGTCTTCCTGGGAGGAACAGCCTTCCATATTTTGTATGTGCCTACAAATTACATAGTGAATTGTTTGAACGGAGATGGGCATGGAGGTGAGAATAGTAAGTATTGGTTTCTTCTCCGGACTGATAGTTGTTTGTTTTTATGTCAGATTATCTATGTGATGCGAAACCCAAAAGACAACATCGTCTCCTATTACCACTTCAGTAAAGCCGCTAGCGACCTGGAGACTCCCAAGAACTTTGAGCACTTTTTTGAGGAGTATTTGACGGGCAATGGTGAGTTACCTCAGAGTCTGGATGATGATGACCAGATGTGATAACCATCTGATTATGAAGAATTGACAGAAAGATTAGAAATCATTTTTAAAAGTTATGTTAAAAATGTCTGGATTGTGTTTGTATTGACAGTATCTGAAGATAGAGGATTTTATTATGAATATTTTCATCAAAATTTTAATAGTAAGAACAGTTGAAAATTTAAAGTCAAGTTTTTCTAATTTACAAACTATATGTGATTCATTCGACACGTCTCGACCTAGGGAAGACACTGCCAAATTGCAAGATCTAACAAATAACCAGACAACAACAACAAATCACAATGATATTTGGTACAGCAGCACAACAAAACAATGTTAGGTGTAACAATACCCTACATAGTACAATTCATAGACAAGAGAGCAATATTAGATCATATATTTATTTGGCAAAGCAGCCGCTGCTAACAGTAACTTCCTTTTGTATTCTGTGTCTGTTCTAGTCTCTGTTTTGATAGCAGGCACTTTAAACTGAAGCCAATTATGTGACCTAGGAGCATAACTGCTTTGCAAAGTTAAAAACCAGTGTTCAAATCTGGGCAAAGGAAGGGATGACCATGCTACCATGCAGTATAATCTACAATGATGTGTCCTGAAGCTAGAGTTAGTGACATATCTCAGAGCTGAGTGAAAGATGGATGCAGTGGCAAACCTGTAAATAGTGTCCCCATAATCGATCTGTGACAGAAATAGGCCAGCAACTGCCAGCACTTGGGAATACATATATTCAACAGATGCTTCATTTGAAATTAATGTGTTTAATTAGGTGATACATTATACATTCATACAGTTGGAGGATCATCCTGGTTCGACCACATCAGGGTGTGGCATTCAATGAGAGACGAGTACAACATCCTCTTTCTGACCTACGAGGACATGGTTTTGGTAAGATGGGTTTCTTTCACTGTGGTTCTTCAGCATTTTTGTGTAGCTTGGGTAGCCTGTAAAACGGTTTGAGGGACAGACGGTATACTTTCAAATCCATTTCATACCATTTATTAAAAAGGGCCACTTTCATTTGAAAATAAAAGTCTAATAACAATAAATTATGTGTCAGAGTTTAAACTTGCTCTCTTTTGGGTTTCTACTTCTCTTTTAGGACCTGAAGGCAGCAGTAACTAAGATCTGCATTTTCTTAGGGAAGAACCTGAGTGAAGCAGCCATTGAGCAAGTTGTAGAAAAATCTACATTCATGAACATGAAGAAAGACTCAAAAGCAAACTATGAGTTTCTGCCACAAGAGAAGCTGAAGGGAGACTTCATGCGCAAAGGTAATGTAACATAACTGCAGCTCCTGTTCAGAAACATGTAAACAGATATCAGCTCTAGTTTTTTCATTACAGGTAAGATCGGTAACTGGAAGAACACCTTTACTGCCGCTCAGAGTGAAAGAGTGGATCAACTCCTTCAGGAGAAACTCGGTGACCTGTCTCTGAAGTTCATCTGGGAATAAGCAGAGCAGCCGCACCAACCATTCACTGCCACTGTGTCTGTATGTGTCTTACACTTCCACAATGTACAATAGCTGATAATAAGTAAACGCTTTCTAATCCATGGTTGGACTTCTGTGCTTGGACAAACTGAAAATATGTGAGCAGAACACACTAATAAATGCAGTTGGCCAAACTGTTGTCTTTACTGAATGTGAAGAATAGTGAAGAAAATTTGATCTACTGGTGGGGCAACAGAAAACAATCAGAGGATCACCTAAGTCAGTAGGCTTCATCCACAGGGGACCATGAATATCTGTACAAAATGTTTTGCAGCTAGTGTGGCCGAAAAAATTAGGCCGAATTGGAGTCAAGGTTGACTTTAGTTACTTTCAGCAGACTTTCTAAATATTCATTTCTTTGTTCAACACCTTTTTGTACCTTTAAACTGTTGTAACCCCATATGTATGGTATCCTGTCTGATTTATCATTATGTCAATTTAACAAAGTATAAAACTACAGTCCAAGGTTGCAAAAACTATTTAACCTATTTATATAAAAAAACAGAAAATGTAAGAGAGAATAATACAATACTATTTACATTTAAAGTGATTTAATCCCAACTCGAATAGCTTTTTTTATCGAAAGTCTATGTATGCCTGTAAATCACTGAAAATATTCAGGCAAATAATCTCAAGGCATAAATGAATTAGTATTAAGGCCCCACATCAGCACTTTCAACTCGTTTTCTCAGCTTGTCTGTACATGAATTAAAAAAAGTTATGTTACTTTATATTTGCTAAATGTCAAGCTTCCTGCTGGAGGCAGTGTGTACTCAACTGTCAGTATTTCACAATATCCTATATATATAAAAGCCAGTTTGCACATATCAAAGTCCAGAGTCCAGCTACTATACTTGAGATGATTTTCTGCTCTTCTCTGTTTCCTTCTTCAAACATTTTCTCTAATTTTTTGTGTGTGATTCAGAAGTAACATGGAGCAGATCACCGACTTTCTCTGCAGGTATAAAAACTACAACTTTTTCATTGGTGCCAACACTGCAGAGTACATTGATTCACTCCAGAGCTTCGAAATTCGAGAGAGTGACACATTTCTTGTCACTTATCCAAAGTCAGGTAAGTGAGGCAGTTGCTTGCCTAATACATTATTTGTCTTTACAGTTTTGTTCTGTCTGGCAACATTTTTAGGTATGAGGTCTCATAATTTAAAATATGTCCCTCCACAGGCACTACATGGGCTCAGCAGATCATCATCTCCATCTGTGAGTTAGACGGGGGTCTGACTGAGTATCCAAACAACTTAGAGCAGATGCCGTGGCTGGAGTACAAGTTGGTTCCACAAGATTACGCCCTACGACCCTCTCCACGGCTCTTCGCCTCTCACCTCACCCCGGCTCTCATGCCTCCGGGACTGAAGGACAAGAAGGCTAAGGTCAGTGTTGTATTGAAGCCCAAACCTGAAAAATACATTGAGGAAGTTATAAATAATAAATTGGTTATGTCACAATTATGAGAAGGGTTGCAACTAATTAATCTGCCAATTATTCCTTCGAGTAACAGATTCATCATTTGCTGTCAGTGTCAGAAAAACAAATAATTATTTCCCAGAGCCCAAGTTAATGTCTTAAAATGGAAATTTGTTCAACCGATAGTCCAAAACCCAAAGATATTCAATTTACTATAACGTAAGACAGGGGATAGCAACAAATCCTCACATTTTAGATTATGAGACTGTCTTCACCAGAAAAAACGTCAATATACTATAGGTCATTTGTGCAGCATGTTATTATGACCCATATATATGTTTATTGTGGCAGCGACTGATAGTGGCCGTAAAATCATAGCAAAGGAGGAAGTCTGTTGACATATTATAAATAGGCATAAAGTCTGCATAAGGAGTGGGGTGGATGGATGTGTCAAACCCGGCCTTTCGTTCAGGAGAACGGCGTTCAAGTCCTATGTAAAAGAAAGTAAATGAGTTATTTTGAGTTTTAACTTAAATAGCGTTTCTGACTTCCGTCACGTGCCCTAACACCAACCACAATGTTTTCCTAAAAAATGTTTTTTGTTGCCAAAATGGAACCAAACTGTGATCGTTTCTCATTAACTATGTGTTTAATGTCATTTGACGTAGGTCACTTGACTTATGTAGAGTAGTTAACACTCGTGTGGTTTTGGGAGGCATGGACAAACTACCTATGTTGTCGTTTAGGTTGGAGGACTTGTTGGAGATTATGCTTGTCATTTCTGATTTTTTTTTTAATTCTAATGGTAGTAATCAGTTATCAAAATATTTTAAATTGTTTCTGTCGATCAACTATTTAATGAATTGATAAATTATTACAATTGTAATAATGAGATACACAGTCAGAATTTGTGATTTAGCAATCTTTCTTTTGCCTGGGATGATTGGCCTTCCGTATTTTGCATGTGCCTACAAATTAAGGTATCATTAAATAGTGAATTTTTGGAGTTTGGCATGGAGGAGATAATAGTATGTAGTATGTATGTTTTATCTCTGGGCTGATTGTTGTTTGTTATTATGTCAGATTATCTATGTGATGCGCAACCCAAAGGACAACATTGTCTCCTTTTACCACTTCAGCAAAGCCAACAGAGACCTGGAGACTCCCAAGAACTTTGACCACTTTTTTGAGGAGTATTTGATGGGCAACGGTGAGGTACCTCAGAGTCTGGATGATGACGACGAGATAAGAGTGCAGTGCTGCGTATACGTTTTTTTGTTTTGTTTTGTTTTTTCTGCGTATACGTTTTAAATGATAACCATCTGATCATGAACAATTTACATAAATATTAGAAATAATTTTTACTGTTATTTTAAAAAGTCTGGATTGTGCGTTTGTGTTGACAGAACCTGCAGACACAGATAATTTCATCATTAACATTTAAATCAATAATTTAATATTGAGAACAGCAATTTGGATATGCAGTTTGTTCGACACCTCTCGGCCACCGTGTCTGAGCTAAATGCTAATACTTACATGAATTAAATGCTAATGTTAATATGCTATGATAATAGGTGTAATGTCCACCACGTTCACCAAAATCATTAGGATACACTGTCTGGGCACCATGGACATCTGAACCAAATTCTGTGTCAATCCATCTTGTAGATATGTGTAATAAATTTCATGGCAATCCATGCATGCTATTGGGATACATATATTCAACAGATTCTTAATTTTCCAATGAAAATATTAAATTAAGGGATACATTATATGTTTATATAGTTGTAGGATCATCCTGGTTCGACCACATCAGGGTGTGGCATTCAATGAGAGACGAGTACAATATCCTCTTTCTGACCTACGAGGACATGGTTTTGGTAAGATGGGTTTTCTTCCCTTGCGGTTCTACAGCATTTTCATGAAGTTCAGACTGCAAAATGATGTAAGGAAGAGACACTTTTCAAATCCATTTCATACCATGAATTTAAAGGGCCACTTTCATTTGAAAATAAAAGTCTAATAACAATAAATTCTTTGTCAGAGTTTAAACTTTTGCTCTCTTTTGGGCCTCTGTTTCTCTTTTAGGACCTGAAGGCGGCAGTAACTAAGATCTGCATTTTCTTAGGGAAGAACCTGAGTGAAGCAGCCATTGAGCAAGTTGTAGAAAAATCTACATTCATGAACATGAAGAAAGACTCAAAAGCAAACTACGATTTTCTGCTGCAAGATAGGATGAAGGGAGACTTCATGCGCAAAGGTAACGTAACATAACTGCAGCTCCTGTTCAGAAACATGTAAACAGATATCAGCTCAAGTTCTTGTTTTGTCATTACAGGTAAGATCGGTGACTGGAAGAACACCTTTACTGTCGCTCAGAGTGAAAGAGTGGATCAACTCCTTCAGGAGAAACTCGGTGACCTGTCTCTGAAGTTCATCTGGGAATAAGCAGAGCAGCCGCACCAGCCATTCACTGCCACTGTGTCTGTATGTGTCTTAGATGTACATCATATAGAGTAGCTGCTAATGTGTAAACTGTTGATATGCATCACAAAACTCTTTCTGACCCATGTTTGGACTTCTGTGCTTGGACAAACTGAACATCCATAAGCAGAAAACACTAATAAATGCAGCTGCCAATCTGTTGTCTTTATTGAATGTGAAGAATAGTGAAAACTTTGATCTACTGGTGGAACAATCAGAGGATCTCCAAAGTCAGTAAGCTTTATCCTCAGGGGACCATGAATATCTGTACAAAATGTTTTGCAGCTAGCGTGGCCAGAAATTAGGCAGAATTGGAGTTCAGATTCACTTTGGTTACTTTCGGCAGACTTTCTAAACATTCATTTCCTTGTTTAGCACCTTTGTTTACCTTTTACCTGCTGATTTATCATTTTGTCAATTTAACAATGTATAAAGCTACAGTTTAAGGTTGCAAAAATTATTTTCCCTAATTTATATACTCGAAAAAAAGGCATTTCATTGAAAGTCTATGTTTGCCTGTAAATTATTAAAAATACTAAGAAATAATTTATGACATATAGACACAAATGAAATGGTGTGTGAAGGCCTCACATCAGCATTTTCAATAGATTTTTCAGAAATTTCAAGCTTCCTGTTGGTGGCAGTGTGTCCTCAGCTGTCAGCATTTTATAGGCCTATAAATAAATCAGCCAACATGCACAAGGTCCAGAGTCTAGCTACTGTACCTGTGAGCTATGAGGTTTTTCCACTCTTCTCTAGTCTTTTATGCAAACATTTTTCAGAAGTAACATCAGATCACCAACTTTCTCTGCAGGTATAAAAACTACAACTTTGCCAACAACACCTTGCCATATTTCAAGCTTCCTGTTGCTATCAGTGCGTATCCAGCTGATAGTATTTCACAATATCAAGGAATATGTACAAATCAAAGTCCAGTGTCCAGCTACCGTACCTGAAACCAGTGAGAATTTTCCACTCTTCTCTTATCCCTTCTGCAAACATTTTTCTCTCATTTTTCTGTGTAATTCAGAAGTAACATGGAGCAGATCACCAACTTTATCGGCAGGTATAAAAACTACAACTTTCCCACTGGTCAAACAACTGCAGAGTACATTGATTCACTCCAGAGCTTCGAAATTCAAGACAGCGATATATTTCTCGTCACTTATCCAAAGTCAGGTCAGTGAGACACTCTTCCGTATCACATTATTTGCCTTTATAGTTTTGTCCTGGCTGGCAAGATATTTACTGATCAGGTATGAGACCTCGTAATTTAAAATATGTCCCTTCATAGGCACTATATGGACTCAACAGATCATAATTTCCATCTGTGAATTGGACGGGAGTCTGAATGAATATCCAAACAACTTAGAGCAGATGCCGTGGCTGGAGTACAAGTTGGTTCCACAAGATTACGCCCTACGACCCTCTCCACGGCTCTTCGCCTCTCACCTCACCCCGGCTCTCATGCCTCCGGGACTGAAGGACAAGAAGGCTAAGGTCAGTGTTGTATTGAAGCCCAAACCTGAAAAATACATTGAGGAAGTTATAAATAATAAATTGGTTATGTCACAATTATGAGAAGGGTTGCAACTAATTAATCTGCCAATTATTCCTTCGAGTAACAGATTCATCATTTGCTGTCAGTGTCAGAAAAACAAATAATTATTTCCCAGAGCCCAAGTTAATGTCTTAAAATGGAAATTTGTTCAACCGATAGTCCAAAACCCAAAGATATTCAATTTACTATAACGTAAGACAGGGGATAGCAACAAATCCTCACATTTTAGATTATGAGACTGTCTTCACCAGAAAAAACGTCAATATACTATAGGTCATTTGTGCAGCATGTTATTATGACCCATATATATGTTTATTGTGGCAGCGACTGATAGTGGCCGTAAAATCATAGCAAAGGAGGAAGTCTGTTGACATATTATAAATAGGCATAAAGTCTGCATAAGGAGTGGGGTGGATGGATGTGTCAAACCCGGCCTTTCGTTCAGGAGAACGGCGTTCAAGTCCTATGTAAAAGAAAGTAAATGAGTTATTTTGAGTTTTAACTTAAATAGCGTTTCTGACTTCCGTCACGTGCCCTAACACCAACCACAATGTTTTCCTAAAAAATGTTTTTTGTTGCCAAAATGGAACCAAACTGTGATCGTTTCTCATTAACTATGTGTTTAATGTCATTTGACGTAGGTCACTTGACTTATGTAGAGTAGTTAACACTCGTGTGGTTTTGGGAGGCATGGACAAACTACCTATGTTGTCGTTTAGGTTGGAGGACTTGTTGGAGATTATGCTTGTCATTTCTGATTTTTTTTTTAATTCTAATGGTAGTAATCAGTTATCAAAATATTTTAAATTGTTTCTGTCGATCAACTATTTAATGAATTGATAAATTATTACAATTGTAATAATGAGATACACAGTCAGAATTTGTGATTTAGCAATCTTTCTTTTGCCTGGGATGATTGGCCTTCCGTATTTTGCATGTGCCTACAAATTAAGGTATCATTAAATAGTGAATTTTTGGAGTTTGGCATGGAGGAGATAATAGTATGTAGTATGTATGTTTTATCTCTGGGCTGATTGTTGTTTGTTATTATGTCAGATTATCTATGTGATGCGCAACCCAAAGGACAACATTGTCTCCTTTTACCACTTCAGCAAAGCCAACAGAGACCTGGAGACTCCCAAGAACTTTGACCACTTTTTTGAGGAGTATTTGATGGGCAACGGTGAGGTACCTCAGAGTCTGGATGATGACGACGAGATAAGAGTGCAGTGCTGCGTATACGTTTTTTTGTTTTGTTTTGTTTTTTCTGCGTATACGTTTTAAATGATAACCATCTGATCATGAACAATTTACATAAATATTAGAAATAATTTTTACTGTTATTTTAAAAAGTCTGGATTGTGCGTTTGTGTTGACAGAACCTGCAGACACAGATAATTTCATCATTAACATTTAAATCAATAATTTAATATTGAGAACAGCAATTTGGATATGCAGTTTGTTCGACACCTCTCGGCCACCGTGTCTGAGCTAAATGCTAATACTTACATGAATTAAATGCTAATGTTAATATGCTATGATAATAGGTGTAATGTCCACCACGTTCACCAAAATCATTAGGATACACTGTCTGGGCACCATGGACATCTGAACCAAATTCTGTGTCAATCCATCTTGTAGATATGTGTAATAAATTTCATGGCAATCCATGCATGCTATTGGGATACATATATTCAACAGATTCTTAATTTTCCAATGAAAATATTAAATTAAGGGATACATTATATGTTTATATAGTTGTAGGATCATCCTGGTTCGACCACATCAGGGTGTGGCATTCAATGAGAGACGAGTACAATATCCTCTTTCTGACCTACGAGGACATGGTTTTGGTAAGATGGGTTTTCTTCCCTTGCGGTTCTACAGCATTTTCATGAAGTTCAGACTGCAAAATGATGTAAGGAAGAGACACTTTTCAAATCCATTTCATACCATGAATTTAAAGGGCCACTTTCATTTGAAAATAAAAGTCTAATAACAATAAATTCTTTGTCAGAGTTTAAACTTTTGCTCTCTTTTGGGCCTCTGTTTCTCTTTTAGGACCTGAAGGCGGCAGTAACTAAGATCTGCATTTTCTTAGGGAAGAACCTGAGTGAAGCAGCCATTGAGCAAGTTGTAGAAAAATCTACATTCATGAACATGAAGAAAGACTCAAAAGCAAACTACGATTTTCTGCTGCAAGATAGGATGAAGGGAGACTTCATGCGCAAAGGTAACGTAACATAACTGCAGCTCCTGTTCAGAAACATGTAAACAGATATCAGCTCAAGTTCTTGTTTTGTCATTACAGGTAAGATCGGTGACTGGAAGAACACCTTTACTGTCGCTCAGAGTGAAAGAGTGGATCAACTCCTTCAGGAGAAACTCGGTGACCTGTCTCTGAAGTTCATCTGGGAATAAGCAGAGCAGCCGCACCAGCCATTCACTGCCACTGTGTCTGTATGTGTCTTAGATGTACATCATATAGAGTAGCTGCTAATGTGTAAACTGTTGATATGCATCACAAAACTCTTTCTGACCCATGTTTGGACTTCTGTGCTTGGACAAACTGAACATCCATAAGCAGAAAACACTAATAAATGCAGCTGCCAATCTGTTGTCTTTATTGAATGTGAAGAATAGTGAAAACTTTGATCTACTGGTGGAACAATCAGAGGATCTCCAAAGTCAGTAAGCTTTATCCTCAGGGGACCATGAATATCTGTACAAAATGTTTTGCAGCTAGCGTGGCCAGAAATTAGGCAGAATTGGAGTTCAGATTCACTTTGGTTACTTTCGGCAGACTTTCTAAACATTCATTTCCTTGTTTAGCACCTTTGTTTACCTTTTACCTGCTGATTTATCATTTTGTCAATTTAACAATGTATAAAGCTACAGTTTAAGGTTGCAAAAATTATTTTCCCTAATTTATATACTCGAAAAAAAGGCATTTCATTGAAAGTCTATGTTTGCCTGTAAATTATTAAAAATACTAAGAAATAATTTATGACATATAGACACAAATGAAATGGTGTGTGAAGGCCTCACATCAGCATTTTCAATAGATTTTTCAGAAATTTCAAGCTTCCTGTTGGTGGCAGTGTGTCCTCAGCTGTCAGCATTTTATAGGCCTATAAATAAATCAGCCAACATGCACAAGGTCCAGAGTCTAGCTACTGTACCTGTGAGCTATGAGGTTTTTCCACTCTTCTCTAGTCTTTTATGCAAACATTTTTCAGAAGTAACATCAGATCACCAACTTTCTCTGCAGGTATAAAAACTACAACTTTGCCAACAACACCTTGCCATATTTCAAGCTTCCTGTTGCTATCAGTGCGTATCCAGCTGATAGTATTTCACAATATCAAGGAATATGTACAAATCAAAGTCCAGTGTCCAGCTACCGTACCTGAAACCAGTGAGAATTTTCCACTCTTCTCTTATCCCTTCTGCAAACATTTTTCTCTAATTTTTCTGTGTAATTCAGAAGTAACATGGAGCAGATCACCAACTTTATCGGCAGGTATAAAAACTACAACTTTCCCACTGGTCAAACAACTGCAGAGTACATTGATTCACTCCAGAGCTTCGAAATTCAAGACAGCGATATATTTCTCGTCACTTATCCAAAGTCAGGTCAGTGAGACACTCTTCCGTATCACATTATTTGCCTTTATAGTTTTGTCCTGGCTGGCAAGATATTTACTGATCAGGTATGAGACCTCGTAATTTAAAATATGTCCCTTCATAGGCACTATATGGACTCAACAGATCATAATTTCCATCTGTGAATTGGACGGGAGTCTGAATGAATATCCAAACAACTTAGAGCAGATGCCGTGGCTGGAGTACAAGTTGGTTCCACAAGATTACGCCCTACGACCCTCTCCACGGCTCTTCGCCTCTCACCTCACCCCGGCTCTCATGCCTCCGGGACTGAAGGACAAGAAGGCTAAGGTCAGTGTTGTATTGAAGCCCAAACCTGAAAAATACATTGAGGAAGTTATAAATAATAAATTGGTTATGTCACAATTATGAGAAGGGTTGCAACTAATTAATCTGCCAATTATTCCTTCGAGTAACAGATTCATCATTTGCTGTCAGTGTCAGAAAAACAAATAATTATTTCCCAGAGCCCAAGTTAATGTCTTAAAATGGAAATTTGTTCAACCGATAGTCCAAAACCCAAAGATATTCAATTTACTATAACGTAAGACAGGGGATAGCAACAAATCCTCACATTTTAGATTATGAGACTGTCTTCACCAGAAAAAACGTCAATATACTATAGGTCATTTGTGCAGCATGTTATTATGACCCATATATATGTTTATTGTGGCAGCGACTGATAGTGGCCGTAAAATCATAGCAAAGGAGGAAGTCTGTTGACATATTATAAATAGGCATAAAGTCTGCATAAGGAGTGGGGTGGATGGATGTGTCAAACCCGGCCTTTCGTTCAGGAGAACGGCGTTCAAGTCCTATGTAAAAGAAAGTAAATGAGTTATTTTGAGTTTTAACTTAAATAGCGTTTCTGACTTCCGTCACGTGCCCTAACACCAACCACAATGTTTTCCTAAAAAATGTTTTTTGTTGCCAAAATGGAACCAAACTGTGATCGTTTCTCATTAACTATGTGTTTAATGTCATTTGACGTAGGTCACTTGACTTATGTAGAGTAGTTAACACTCGTGTGGTTTTGGGAGGCATGGACAAACTACCTATGTTGTCGTTTAGGTTGGAGGACTTGTTGGAGATTATGCTTGTCATTTCTGATTTTTTTTTAATTCTAATGGTAGTAATCAGTTATCAAAATATTTTAAATTGTTTCTGTCGATCAACTATTTAATGAATTGATAAATTATTACAATTGTAATAATGAGATACACAGTCAGAATTTGTGATTTAGCAATCTTTCTTTTGCCTGGGATGATTGGCCTTCCGTATTTTGCATGTGCCTACAAATTAAGGTATCATTAAATAGTGAATTTTTGGAGTTTGGCATGGAGGAGATAATAGTATGTAGTATGTATGTTTTATCTCTGGGCTGATTGTTGTTTGTTATTATGTCAGATTATCTATGTGATGCGCAACCCAAAGGACAACATTGTCTCCTTTTACCACTTCAGCAAAGCCAACAGAGACCTGGAGACTCCCAAGAACTTTGACCACTTTTTTGAGGAGTATTTGATGGGCAACGGTGAGGTACCTCAGAGTCTGGATGATGACGACGAGATAAGAGTGCAGTGCTGCGTATACGTTTTTTTGTTTTGTTTTGTTTTTTCTGCGTATACGTTTTAAATGATAACCATCTGATCATGAACAATTTACATAAATATTAGAAATAATTTTTACTGTTATTTTAAAAAGTCTGGATTGTGCGTTTGTGTTGACAGAACCTGCAGACACAGATAATTTCATCATTAACATTTAAATCAATAATTTAATATTGAGAACAGCAATTTGGATATGCAGTTTGTTCGACACCTCTCGGCCACCGTGTCTGAGCTAAATGCTAATACTTACATGAATTAAATGCTAATGTTAATATGCTATGATAATAGGTGTAATGTCCACCACGTTCACCAAAATCATTAGGATACACTGTCTGGGCACCATGGACATCTGAACCAAATTCTGTGTCAATCCATCTTGTAGATATGTGTAATAAATTTCATGGCAATCCATGCATGCTATTGGGATACATATATTCAACAGATTCTTAATTTTCCAATGAAAATATTAAATTAAGGGATACATTATATGTTTATATAGTTGTAGGATCATCCTGGTTCGACCACATCAGGGTGTGGCATTCAATGAGAGACGAGTACAATATCCTCTTTCTGACCTACGAGGACATGGTTTTGGTAAGATGGGTTTTCTTCCCTTGCGGTTCTACAGCATTTTCATGAAGTTCAGACTGCAAAATGATGTAAGGAAGAGACACTTTTCAAATCCATTTCATACCATGAATTTAAAGGGCCACTTTCATTTGAAAATAAAAGTCTAATAACAATAAATTCTTTGTCAGAGTTTAAACTTTTGCTCTCTTTTGGGCCTCTGTTTCTCTTTTAGGACCTGAAGGCGGCAGTAACTAAGATCTGCATTTTCTTAGGGAAGAACCTGAGTGAAGCAGCCATTGAGCAAGTTGTAGAAAAATCTACATTCATGAACATGAAGAAAGACTCAAAAGCAAACTACGATTTTCTGCTGCAAGATAGGATGAAGGGAGACTTCATGCGCAAAGGTAACGTAACATAACTGCAGCTCCTGTTCAGAAACATGTAAACAGATATCAGCTCAAGTTCTTGTTTTGTCATTACAGGTAAGATCGGTGACTGGAAGAACACCTTTACTGTCGCTCAGAGTGAAAGAGTGGATCAACTCCTTCAGGAGAAACTCGGTGACCTGTCTCTGAAGTTCATCTGGGAATAAGCAGAGCAGCCGCACCAGCCATTCACTGCCACTGTGTCTGTATGTGTCTTAGATGTACATCATATAGAGTAGCTGCTAATGTGTAAACTGTTGATATGCATCACAAAACTCTTTCTGACCCATGTTTGGACTTCTGTGCTTGGACAAACTGAACATCCATAAGCAGAAAACACTAATAAATGCAGCTGCCAATCTGTTGTCTTTATTGAATGTGAAGAATAGTGAAAACTTTGATCTACTGGTGGAACAATCAGAGGATCTCCAAAGTCAGTAAGCTTTATCCTCAGGGGACCATGAATATCTGTACAAAATGTTTTGCAGCTAGCGTGGCCAGAAATTAGGCAGAATTGGAGTTCAGATTCACTTTGGTTACTTTCGGCAGACTTTCTAAACATTCATTTCCTTGTTTAGCACCTTTGTTTACCTTTTACCTGCTGATTTATCATTTTGTCAATTTAACAATGTATAAAGCTACAGTTTAAGGTTGCAAAAATTATTTTCCCTAATTTATATACTCGAAAAAAAGGCATTTCATTGAAAGTCTATGTTTGCCTGTAAATTATTAAAAATACTAAGAAATAATTTATGACATATAGACACAAATGAAATGGTGTGTGAAGGCCTCACATCAGCATTTTCAATAGATTTTTCAGAAATTTCAAGCTTCCTGTTGGTGGCAGTGTGTCCTCAGCTGTCAGCATTTTATAGGCCTATAAATAAATCAGCCAACATGCACAAGGTCCAGAGTCTAGCTACTGTACCTGTGAGCTATGAGGTTTTTCCACTCTTCTCTAGTCTTTTATGCAAACATTTTTCAGAAGTAACATCAGATCACCAACTTTCTCTGCAGGTATAAAAACTACAACTTTGCCAACAACACCTTGCCATATTTCAAGCTTCCTGTTGCTATCAGTGCGTATCCAGCTGATAGTATTTCACAATATCAAGGAATATGTACAAATCAAAGTCCAGTGTCCAGCTACCGTACCTGAAACCAGTGAGAATTTTCCACTCTTCTCTTATCCCTTCTGCAAACATTTTTCTCTCATTTTTCTGTGTAATTCAGAAGTAACATGGAGCAGATCACCAACTTTATCGGCAGGTATAAAAACTACAACTTTCCCACTGGTCAAACAACTGCAGAGTACATTGATTCACTCCAGAGCTTCGAAATTCAAGACAGCGATATATTTCTCGTCACTTATCCAAAGTCAGGTCAGTGAGACACTCTTCCGTATCACATTATTTGCCTTTATAGTTTTGTCCTGGCTGGCAAGATATTTACTGATCAGGTATGAGACCTCGTAATTTAAAATATGTCCCTTCATAGGCACTATATGGACTCAACAGATCATAATTTCCATCTGTGAATTGGACGGGAGTCTGAATGAATATCCAAACAACTTTGAGCAGATGCCGTGGCTGGAGTACACAGAGGGTTGAGAAGATTACGCCCTACGACCCTCTCCACGGCTCTTTGCCTCTCATCTCACCCCGGTTCTCTTGCCTCCGGGACTGAAGGACAAGAAGGCTAAGGTCAGTGTTTTATGGAAGCCCAGTCTTGCCAGGATAATAAAACTTAAAAATATATATATTGGGAAAGTTATACATAATAAATCAGTAAGTCACAATTATGAGAAGAGTTGCAACTAATTAATGTGCCAATTATTTTCTCTGTTAATGGATTAATCGTTTGGCGTCCGTGTCAGAAAAGCCCATAATAATTTCCTAGACCCCAAGAGAATGTCTTAAAATTGCAATTTTTGCAACAGTCCAAAACCCAAAGATATTCAATTTACTATAACATAAGAGAGGGGAAAATCTTTACATTTCAGAAGCTGGAACAGTCACTATTATTGGCATTTCTTACAATATTTTTTTTTCTTACTTATTTAATCAACTATCAGAATAGTTGCAGATATTTTTTTTCTATCAACTATTCAATGAAATGATTTATCGTTTCAGCTTAATTATGAGAAACAAAGCAATCTTTTTCCTGGAAGCAATGGCTTTCTATATGTTGTGTGTGCCTACAAATTAAAGGTCCAGTGTGTAAGTTTTAGTGGCATCCAGTCGTGAGGGTTCAAATCAAAGTTCTGTATACTTCTTTATGTCCCATGTACACTTTCTCTTTTTGCATTAAAAATCTAAGAAGAAAAAGAAAAAATCTGATTATTCTGACACCACATGCATCGCTCACCACTAACTTTCCAAGTGAGCAGGAGAAGCTAAGGTGGCCGTCACGCTCTGTCGGTTCTTGTGCTAAATTATATGTGTGTGCCCCCATTTGCCAAAATTTCTTCTTTCTTCTTTGTTCGTATTCACGTAGTGACAAAACGTGCTCTGTAGAGCTGTTTGTCCATTTTGGCTACTGTAGAAACATGGCGGCGCAACATAGCGCGTTGTATGTAGATACAAATGACTCACTGTAAGGTTATAAAAACATAATGGTTCATAAGATCTTTATACAGCACTGAAAACATAGTTATGGATAGTATATTGCAATTCTGATAATAGATCCTCCTAAATATTACACACTGAACCTTTAAGGTATCATTAAATAGGGAATTATTTGAATTGAGTTTGGAAGAGAGAATAAGATGTCTTGGTTTCATCTCCTTGCTGATTGTTGTTTGTTTTTATGTCAGATTATCTATGTGATGCGAAACCCAAAGGACAACATCGTCTCTTTTTACCACTTCAGTAAAGCCTGCAGCGACCTGGCGACTCCCAAGAACTTCAAGCACTTTTGTGAGGAGTATTTAACGGGCAACGGTGAGGTACCTCAGACTCTAAATGATACTGACCAGATAGAGTACCGTGCTGATACATTTTAAATGATAACCATCTGATCATGAAGAATTGACAGTAAGATTAGAAATAATTTATATGTTATGTTAAAAAAGTCTATGTTCTCTTCAGATACAGAGAATTTGGTTAGGAAAATTTTCTTCAATAATATAATATTGAGAAAAATGTGCCTGTGCTTGTGTTTTTCAAATTTGCAAAGCGTTTTGGATATGCAGTGAGTTCAATATGTTCTGGCCGCCATATTCTGCAAAAGTTTGGAACTCAGTAGGTAGATTGGCCCAAACATCTTGGAGAACTGCCCACAGTCTGATGTAATCCCTATCAGACACAATAATGTTGAGGTCAGGGCTCTGTGGGGGCCATCCCATCACTTCCAGGACTCCTTGTTCTTCTTTACACTGAAGATCTTCTTCTGACTTTCGCTGTATGTTTGGGTCCTTGTCATGCTGCAGCGTAAATTTGAGGCCAATCAGATGCCTCTCTGATAGTACTGTATGATGAATAAGTATCTGCCTGTACTTCTCAGCATTTAGGAGCATTAATTCTGACCAAATTCCCAACTTCATTTTCAGATGTGCAGCCCCAAACTTGTAAGGAACCTCTACCATGCTTCACTGTTGCCTGTAGACACTCATTGTTGTACCGCTCTCCACCCCATTGGTGAACAAACTGCATTCTACAGCCAAATATTTCAAATTCTGACTCATCAGTCCCGCTGCCATTTCTTGTGTTCTTGTCAGTTCTTGTGTTTTCATGCGTAGTTGAATTGCTTGAACTTGTTTCCATGATGTAGGTATGGCATTTTGGTCACAAGTCTTCCATGACGGCCAATTCTGATCAGATTTCTCTGGTGAGTTGATGGGTGTACCAGGGTCCCACTGTTTTCTGCCAGTTCTGAGTTGATGGCACTGCTGGACATCTTCCAGTTGTGAAGGGTAGTAAGCATGAGGTGTCTTTCATCTGCTGCAGTAAGTTTCTTTGGTCGACCACTGCGTCTACAGCCCTCAATATTTCTTGATTCTTTGTGCTTCTTCAAAAGAGTTTGGACAGCACATCTAGAAAACCCCTGTCTGCCTTGATATGGCTGCCTGGGAAAGACCTTGTAGATGCAGTATAACTACCTTGTGTCTTGTTGCTGTGCTCAGTCTTGCCATGGTGTATGACTTTTGACAGCAAACTGTCATCAGCAACCTCACCTTATTAGCTTAGTTTGGCTGTTCCTTACCCAGTCATATCCCTCCTACAGAGCTGTTTCTGTTTCAGTTTAATGATTGTGTTCCAACCTACAGAATCTGAAAAACACAGGACTACATGTTAGAGACTGTCCCTTGGCCCAATAGGTGGTGAGCCTTTTTTTGAGTTTTGCCTTGCTGTAGGGAGTGGCAGATGATTGACTGGTGGGGGTTCTCTAACTTATATGGGAGGCAAATCATCAGTAGCGCCGCATCAAAAACTACTCTGATGGTCTTATGAAAAGCCTGACTGTGGAGTTCTTTCAGTAGTTTGATGATAGATGACACCACAAATCCTATGCATTCCACTTCAAATGGATAAACTTTGCTGCTAGCTCTGCATAGCTATGAGCTTCTTACGCTGATAGGCCTCCTTAACTTAGTTCTTCTATGGCACTGTGAGCTCTATGATGTAAACCATCTTTGGTGTGGCAGACCAGGGTACCAAGTCTGGCCTGAGGTTGTAGGAAGCAATCTCAGGCGCCAGCCATGGGCAAAGTTAGGGGGGAAAAGTTAGGACAATTCCAAGGGCCCCTGACTGACAGGGCCCCCCAAAAATAATTATAAACTAATATCAAATGATATTATATTATACATTATATAAACCATCATCACTGAGTATAAATATATTTCAAATATAATAATAAAATGAATGATCTCTTAGTTTTTTCTTGTTTTTGGCAGTAAAAGTTAAACATCCCCATTGACCAAAAAGTAAACCTCCATATTGACCGACCACCCCCCTGTATATGCATGAAATGGTTGGGTCCTGGCACACATCAGTGATGGTGTTTAGATGCAGTCAGTAGATGCACCAGTATTAACAATGTTGCATAGTAAACCAAAATCTGGTTTTCTGTAACCCAGTTTTTCCACCAAGAAAGGTGGGTAGCCTTTAGTCTGTGAGTGGTGTTAACCTGTTGGCTTAATGTCCATAGTGAAATAAGCTAGCTAGCTACAGACTAGTGTTAGCCTACATTTCCTCAACATTTAATCAGTGCAAGGAAAAGTTTAGCAAGATATTCATATTAAATCATTGTCCCTGCCCCTTTTAGCAGACAAACAACAGATGAGTCAGCAGCACCCCAGTCTCCCCATAACTGTAGCCTCCCTGTCCCAGTGACAAAGGTGAGCAACACTGTGTTAATATTATACCAGGGAGTCTTTACCATAAAAAAAGACAATGAAATATTTCTTAATGACAGAAATTCAAACACAAATTATTTTCTCACATAATGATCATTATGAAATAAATAAAATAAAATAAAAACTTCCTGCCTGTACTGGATGCTGGACAGCAGCTTACCTCAGCCTGCATATAAGTTACAGACTATATTAAAATAATCCAGTTTTATTTACATTCATTTAGATTGAATTATGGCCGTTAATGACATCTATACAGACTTTATTATTCCCATAATGAAGGGAAGTTTTTTGAGAAGCAATATTGTGGTAGTACTAATATTGAACTACAAGAAGCCAGACAGTTGCAAGCCTTTAATTAGAGTTATGTAAAGCTTTTGATGGGACAGTTATGTAGCAAACCTTGCTTGCTCTTGGTGGGAACTGTTGGGCTTCTGTAAATATCATCAGAGTACGGTCTAGACCTGCTCTTTTATGAAAAGCGCTGTGAGATAACTGTTGTTGTGATTTGGCGCTATATAAATAAAATTGAATTGAATTAAATTAAAATTTAGTTATGCATTTTAATAAATTTGAGAATTGATACCCAATTATGAATTTTAATATTCATAAAATCTAATTTTATTCCTCGTTCCAGGGCACCACCGGAGTTGTTATAATCCTAGAGTCTCCGGACCTCTAGGTAATTTTAATAATTATACAATTATTACTAGTGATCAGTTAGTTAATAATCGCTCAATTATCTTAAATCAGTCAGTCAGTCTCATATCTAAAGGGTCAATTCTCTTGGCAGGGACGTAGAAATAGGCAACACACAGTTCTTGATTATATTACAGTGAATTTATTCTCTAACTACTGTGATAAAAAGATGGTTAAATACCGGGAAAATAAACAATTGCTGAACAATGAGAAATGGAGGTTCGATTGTGGGCAGCATTTGATTCATACGGCATAAGAGAACTAATGAAAGTAAGCTATGAGTTTAGCAGTTAGAAAGGACATCCCTGACCGCAGAATGTGTGTTAAGTCTTACTGCTTGTCGACAGCCTGCTTGGCCTTTTGCTGGTCCCACGCTAGCTGCCGATCCTGGCTTTTTGCTAGGGATTGTCCGGGGTTCTCCATGTCTGATGGAAAACGTCGTCCTCCATCTGGCAATTCGGCTGTTTTCAGGTTTCCTTCGTTGTCGCTGGCGAGACCACGTGGCTTGGTCTGACCTCGGTGAAGTTGACTCGACGAAAAAGGCTTAAAATGGAACTTGGTCGTTCCTGAATTAGTCCAGTGTAACTTAAGCAAGAAGCGAAGAGAAGAGCGAGAAGCGAAGTCGCGTTTTGTTGCCTGGGGCGTGGTTCCCCAGGGGGCGTCTCAGGTTTCCCAAGGGACTGCCTTTCTAAACTTAATGTTTAAAAGAAATCTATTTGCGCGTATTATAATCAAATATTTTCCACAATCGAACCTCAACGGTCAAACGGTTGTACTGTTCTAAGCATTTGGTAACAGGAAACAATTGTCACATTATTGGTCAGGATATTTATACATTTAACGGCATTTCCAACGAGGGCATGTAATACTTATTTCGTCCACTTGGGGGAGCTCAGGTTACATGAGTAAAGCTTAGATTAATCCAAGATCATCTCTCCTTAGGAACTGGGGAATTATTGTTGATTCATCCTTAAATTCAAGCTGGCGGTTAAGAGTATAGTAAAACATTCCTTTGTCATCATTTCTAAAGGAATTTTGTAGGAAAGTATTATGAACAAGCATTGATTACATTAGATGAAGGAGTGTCTTGCTGAAAATAAAAACACTGCAAAAGCAACTTTACTACTCAAATAGAGGCAAACGTAATCAAGTAACTAAAGATTTAATTAACTTAATTAAATGCTTTGAGTCTTTGGAGACTGCAGTCCTTTTTACATTGAAAGTTCAGTGTCTGGATTATGTCACACTTAGGTGAGACAAGGAGTATCCCTTTGATGGGATAATACACAAAGCGCAAGGTCAGTTGCCACGGAAACGTGTGTGTGTGTGGGGGGGAGGCAGTTTTGATAGGCTGTTCAGGGAAATGCTAATGGCTGGCTTGTGTCCCTTTGTCAGTTTAACAGTCAGGCCCCGCGTTGTCAGCTTCGGGATCAAAAAGGTGCCAGTTTTATGGTCGGGCTAGCACTTAGAGAAAGCAACTTTGACCCCTCCCCCTTCTTCTCTGGGGGAGGAGAAAGGAATTTAGGGTAGCTCCAAATTTATTCAATATAAAATGCACAAATCCACACCATTGTTCACTACAGTTAAGTCCTAGAGAAGTGGTGACAACAGCTGCGCAGAGGGGGTCCAATTTATATATATAAACCTTTATTTAACTAGGAAAGTCACATTGAGGTTAAAACCTCTTTTACAAGTGAGACCTAGTCAAGACAGGGTCGGATAGCAGGATTAAACAGATAACAAGCAACAATAAGAAACCAATCACAACATCATCATTAGATACAACAGAAAACACAGCAAAACAAGTATCCACAACATGTTGTACAACACCGAGACACAGCACAGCAACACAAACATTTAGGTATTACATAATACCCTACATAGTACTGTTCACATAACAGTATTAGATCATAGATTTAATAAGGAGTTAAGTGGTAATAGAATTGGCAAAGCAGCTGCATTTAATTGTTTTTTATTTTTGGGATTGTAGTTTGAGTTTGGTCTGCACATCATTCCAAGACCAAGGGCCATAGTAATACAGGCTTAGCTTTCCGGCCTCTGTTCTGATAGCAGGCACTTTGAACTGTAGTTAGTAATGTGTCCTGAGATTATTACAGCTGTTTAAATAATTTCGAACTTTTCCTAAAATTACCTTGTAAATTAAAATATACCAATGTTCGAGCCTGCACAAATGAAGAGATGACCATCCTACCAATCTGTACAGTATACAATGATACATATATACAGAAAACCCAATGTGAATTTTAATTTCTTTGCAAGATAATCAACATGGTATTTAAAATTTAGGTTTTTGTCCATCCAGTTTCCCAGATATTTGTAATTGTCTACAGACTGGATACAGACTCCATCCAGTGACGTGATGGAGAGGGATGGTAGCTTTGTTCGCCAAGTAGTAAAAACCATAACTTTAGTTTTATGTGGGTTTAACAGCAGCTTCAAATCTAATAGAGCATGTTGCAGGGTGTCAAAATCTGCCTGCACATTTGAAAAGGCCAACTCAGCTGTGGGGCCACAGGAGTACAGAACTGAATCATCTGCATACAGATGATACTTACAAAATTTAAACTTATCACAAATATTAATATAAACTAGGAAAAGCAAGGGTCCCAAAACTGATCCTTGTGGAACACCTTTCATAACAAGGACTGGGTTTGACATATCATTGCCATATTTGGCCATTTGTGAACGATTGGTCAAGTAGCTATGGAACTATTTGACCGCATTGCATCCAATGCCAGCTCTCAGCAGGGTATTAACAAGTAATAGATGGTCCACAGTATCAAACGCCTTTGTGAGGTCTATGAACAGAGACACACAGGTAAATTTATTATCTATAGCCTCTTTGAAGTCATCCATGACTTTTATTGTACTGTGCCCTGACCGGAACCCGGATTGCATTTCATTTAAAATGTAATGCGAGTGCAAATATGATTTAAGTTGGGTAGCAACTAATGATTCCAATATTTTTGAAAGAACAGGGAGATTAGAGATTGGTCTAAAGTTGTTCATGTCATATTGCCAGCTTTGAATAGGGGTGTAATGTAAGCTTGCTTCCAGCTGGCTGGAACCTGGTTAGAATTTATTGACATGTTAAAAATGTTAGTAATGGGCTCAGCTATGACCGATGCAGCCACCTTTAACAGAAAGGTATCCAGACCATAAGGTCTAGGCGCCTTTTTGGGTGTATTGAATTCAGTGATGCAGAACTTGACAGATCTTGAACTTGTAGGGCTTTAAAATCAAATGAGAAGGCAGAGGTTGAGGATGTACTAGGTAGCAAGAAACATGTTGAAGGATCAACTGAAATTGATGGAAGCTGCTGATCAATTAAATGACCTGCCTTCTCAAAATGACCGTTAAAGGCATTTAATATATCACTTTTATCTGTGATAGTTACATTTCTAATATTCAATTGCGGGGGAAAGTCTGAAGCCTTTTTGCTCTGTAATACTCTGATTGTTTTCCAGAATCTGGATGGATTGTTAAAATTATCATTAGTTGAGGTAAGATAATAATTTGATTAAGAGGTCCGAATGGCTGAGGTACATTGATTTCTCAAAGTTCTGAAACGTTGCCAATCTACAATACTGCTGGTCCTCCTTGCAAGGGACCACTGTTTACTTCTTGATTGAATAAACTGGGCTAGTTCTTGAGAAAACCAAGGATTATCCCTGTTCTTTATTCTGTGCTTTTTGAAAGGAGCATGTTTATTTGCAAACAATAGAAACTGTTGCTGAAAAAAAGCAACAGCTTCAACTACAGTAGGAATCAGTGCAACACGATCCCAATTTAGTCTTGCCGGGTCAGATAAAAAGGCCTGCTCTGAAAAGTGTTCAGGTCGTTTACGAACACGCCTATTGCTGTATACTTATGAGCGCCGTTGGTGAGAATGACATCTAACAGGGTGTCACTATTAAGCTTAGATGGATTGAGTCTGGTGGGGCTGTCAATAAGTTGTAAGTTTAGAGAATTACAAGCCAGCTTGAAATTCTCTGATTTGTCACTGAGCCAATCTCAATTTAAATCAGCAAATAAAATAATTTCTGAATTATTTAAATTAGACAGCACTTCAGTCCACAATGTTTCATGAACAGCAGAGGGGGACCTATAGCAACCAATAATAGTAAATAGAGCATTTGCAACCTTAATGTCTAAGGCTATAAGTTCAAACTGTCTTGGGATTGACTGCGAAAGTAAAACAGACACAGGAAATTTTTGAGATACATAAATAGCTACACCACCTGCACGCCCTTTCCGATCTGTTCTATAAACATTATAACCACCAACACAAATAACATCATCAGGGACGGAGGGTTTAAGCCAAGTTTCAGAGATCACAACAATATCTGGATTAGCAGACATGAACTACGTTTTCAATAAATCCAGTTTGGGTAATAAACTTCTAGCGCTGATATGTAGAAAACCAATTCCATGCCTATTAGCAAATTCAGTAGGCATTAAGAGATGATGTAAGTTTACTTGACATGCATGACAGTGGCATACACACAAGGCAAACAAATACAGTCGGCACGATCGTGAATTTGACAGTCATTGTTAAAATCAAAAATGTCACATCCAGCGTCCAGAGAGAGGGGGAGAAGGAAGTGAAGCAGTCACCTGAGAGTTATATCCAGCGGTAGGCCTCCACCACCGCACGCAGTCAGAATTAGGCTACACACAATTGCACAGCAGCCTCGGATCAGAAGACGTAGTCACTCTGGCAGATCCTTTAAGTTCTGAGATCGAAATCCAGTGATGGGCCAGCTCGAATGTAAGGTCTAGCAGTCAGATGAAAAAATCAACCAACTCTTTTGCTGCTTGCACCACCAGTGACGACCATCTGCGGCCACTGTCAAAGAACCAGCCTCGGAGTTGATGTGCATACAATTGCGCAGCCGGCTGACCCAGTCAGCGCACGTTGTCACCCTGGCCGATCCCTCAACTGGTGAAATTACTCCGTAAAGCCCCTTAGAACCTAAAAAACATTAAAAAGCTGCTTAAAACCCGAAATAAAACCCGAGACAGGACTCCCAAAAACAGACACACACACAGAACTGCTATCGCACCACCAATTTGAGTTTTTTGTCTTAGGGCCAAAATTCCTGGTGCCAGCATTTTCTAGTCATGGGCCATGAAAAGATGTTCTGCTTCTGACTTGGTGGAAGGATGTTCGGGTGTTTTCTGCCCTTCTCTGCCCAAACATTGTTGCCTTCATGGGATTATCTGCTCTTGGTGGCTGGAAGTTGTTTGTGCTCCACTTGCTCTCCAAAAACGATGCCAGGCTCTTGAGGACCTGGTTGTGTCTCCAGTTGTATTTCCCTTGAGTGAGGCTGGTCTAACATCCTGTCAGGATGTGTTCAAGAGTTGCAGGAGTTCGGCAGAGGTTGGATCCTTGCCACACCACTGATGGAAATTCTTTGGTGATGGAGGCATGTTATGTGTCACTCTGATGATAAAGCAAATCTTGTTTTCTTCCATTTTCCATAACTCCCTCTATTGATCTTTCTCCTCTCCATGCTTTCGCAAGAGAGACTGCCTTTGTCCTTCTCATAATCTCTTCATGTCGACGCACCTTCTGGACCACCAGTCTGATGTTGCTGCCTTTCGCCAAGTTGGTAAACTTGCTTTCAGGCCAAAGCCTCATCTTCCCTGCTGGACCTGCCCCACTATGTCTTTATGCTTCAGGGCTGATGTAGCTTGCTGGATTGCATTGGATGGGGTCTACTTCCACCCAGTAACTAGGGGCAGTGCGATCATACTGATGGTCTTGTGTCCTTGAGTGTTCACTGTACTTACTTTAGAACACTTGTATTCCTTGTGAGAGGAAGTTCCAGGACCCCTGTGCTGTAGAGGCTGGTGTTATTTAGACATTGTGGGACACCTACCCATTTTGAAATGATGGTTCGAGAGTTGCTTGGCTTGATTTTCATTTGGGCCTACTTGATGTTCTCCTGCAGTTTTCCAAGTAGCCACTTGGTGCATGCTGCAATAGTGGTCAGAGATGTCATATAATTCATGTATGCTCTGATAGGTGGAAGATGGTTCCCGGCCCTGGTTTGTTCTCCGTGCACCACCCATTTTGAGGCCCTCATAATGACTTCCATGGCCATTGTGAAAATCAGGAGTGAGACTGTTCAGCCTGCCATCATGCCTACTTCCAAGCGCTGCCATGTTGTGGTGAAGTCGACTTCTATAAAGCACAGCTGTAGGTCTTGGAAACACGTCTTGAGCAGTGTTGTGATTAGATCTGATATGTGGCAGATGTTGAATGATTCTCAGAGAAGATCATGGGGAATTGATCCAAATGCATTGATCAGGCCGAGGAAAACCACATTTAGGTCTCTCTTGCCCTTCTTGGTTGCTTTTATCATGCTTGTATGCTCCAAGACACCAGAGAATCCTGGAATTCCTGTTTTCTTCACAGATGTATCAATGTACTTGTTCCTTTTCAGGTAGGCAGCCAGACATATTTGCTGGAACTGTTTTTCATCTGCCTCCTCTCTCTGAATGGTGGTTGTAGTATATTTCCACTTCTCCCTTTAGTCACTCCAAAGTGCTCCAAACTCTATAGTTGTAAATTATTCTGCCTATCTTTTCCAGCTTTTTCACTACTGTGCCCACTTGTTTTATGTTAGGTCACTGTTGATTATTTGCCACTCTTTTTGTCGACACCTTGGGCCACTTCACACCAGGTTTGTGTCCTTTGATCTTTTTCTCTCTTGAACGTACCTATTGGATTACATATGGGATTAGTAATTATTAGCACCAGTTTGATATAATTGTAAAATCAGACATCTGACGATATGCCTAATCCCTGACTATGTGCAAATGTACCTAAAAGAATTGATGCTGTTTTCAAAGTAAAGTGTGGTCACACCAAATATTGATTTGATTTAGATTTTTCTTTTGTTTGTTCACTTTATATTGTGTTAATTTATAAATATATTCTATTAACATGTTTATTTTGAAATCATTCTTACACCACAGATTTCTTTTCCATATAAAAAAAAATTGCACAGTACTATATATGCCAATGCTAACAAACTCAGTGTCAATGTTAACATGCTGATGTTTAAAAGTTGTATTGTTTACAAGGTATGGTTGATTTATTTATCATTTTACAACACAATGTTGAATAATAAAATTAAGTTGTAGGTGTTCTGTCATAAAGCAGTCGTGCTCTTTTAGTCCCGACCAGAGAGGTGGACTGATCTATCCCTGTGAAAACTATGGAAGCCAAACTTCAGTGTTTCTTGTACCATGCTAATTGTCGTTCAACAGATCCTTAATTTCAATTAAAATGTAAAATTAAGGGATACATTATACATTTATACAGTTGTGGGATCATCCTGGTTTGACCACATCAGGGAGTGGCATTCAAAGAGAGACCAGTACAACATCCTCTTCCTGACCTACGAGGACATGGTTTTGGTAAGATTTGTTTTCTCCCTGCAGTCCTTCAGCATTTTTGTGTAGCTTGGACTGCAAAATAGGGTGGGGAAGGTAAAGGACACTTTTCAAATCCATTTAATACCATGAATTAGAAAGGACCACATTCATTTGAAAATAAAAGTCTAATAACAATAGATTCTTTGTCAGAGCTTAAACTCTCCTTTGGGTTTCTGCTTCTCTTTTAGGACCTGAAGGCAGCAGTAACTAAGATCTGCATTTTCTTAGGGAAGAACCTGAGTGAAGCAGCCATTGAGCAAGTTGTAGAAAAATCTACATTCATGAACATGAAGAAAGACTCAAAAGCAAACTATGAGTTTCTGCCACAAGAGAGGGTGAAGGGAGACTTCATGCGCAAAGGTAATGTAACATAACTGCAGCTCGTGTGCAGAAACATGTAAACAGATATCAGCTCTAGTTTTTGTTTTGTCATTACAGGTAAGATCGGTGACTGGAAGAACACCTTTACTGTTGCTCAGAGTGAAAGAGTGGATCAACTCCTTCAGGAGAGACTCGGTGACCTGTCTCTGAAGTTCATCTGGGAATAAGCAGAGCAGCCGCACCAGCCATTCACTGCCACTGTGTCTGTATGTGTCTTAGATGTACATCATATATAGTAGCTGCTAACGTGTAAACTGATAAAGCACAAAATGCTTTCTGACTGATGTAAAAGTGCAAAAGAATAAAACATGATTGAAATATATTAGACAGTTAATAATGAAAAATATCTGCACTATCTGCAAGGCTGTCATCATTACGCACAATTTGAAAAATACAGGCTAACCCATACAGCTATACATTGTTAGTGCTAGAAAAGAGATCCACTTTAATAATTCAGTTTCAGCTCAAATTGAGCAGAAAAGTCCGCACCAATTAATCTCATGCCATTTTTGTTTCTTGACATCAGCATGATTTCTGCAGACAGTTTCTTTTGTGTTTTAAAGCCCCTATCTTTAGATTGGGTGCTTCATAAGTTAAAAGTAGGGGAAAGATAATGGGGATTTTTATATATTCTCAAATAGCCCAAGCTTAAGCTTTATCATCATTACACAACACAGATGAAATAGTGTGAAGGCCCCACATCAGCACTTTCAACTGGTTTTCTCAGCTTGTCTCTACATGAGATAAAGTACTTTAAACAAAACATGCTTAGACTTCAGAGGGTTTTTAGAATAAATAAAACACCAATGCCTTGCTGTATTTCCAGCTTCCTGTTGTTATGAGTGTGTATCCAGCTGACAGTATTTCACAATATCAAGGAATATGTATAAATCAAAGTCCAGAGTCCAGCTACCGTACCTGTAACCAGTGAGGATTTTCCACTCTTCTCTGGTCCCTTCTGCAAACATTTTTCTCTAATTTGTCTGTGTAATTTGGAAGCAACATGGAGCAGATCACCAACTTTATTTGCAGGTATAAAAACTACAACTTTCCGTCCGGGCAAACAACTGCAGAGTACATTGATTCACTCCAGAGCTTCGAAATTCGAGACAGTGATATATTTCTCGTCACTTATCCAAAGTCAGGTCAGTGAGACAAACTCTTCCGTATCACATTATTTGCCTTTATAGTTTTGTCCTGGCTGGTAACATATTTACAAATCAGGTATGAGGTCTCATAACTAAACATATGTCCCTACACAGGAACTATATGGACTCAACAGATCATCATCTCCATCTGTGAATTAGACGGGGGTCTGAACGAATATCCAAACAACTTGGAGCAGATGCCGTGGGTGGAGTACACAGCGGGTCGAGAAGATTACGCCTTACGACCCTCTCCACGGCTCTTCGCCTCTCACCTCACCCCAGTTCTCATGCCTCCGGTACTAAAGGAAAAGAAGGCTAAGGTCAGTGTTTTATGGAAGCCCAATCCTGCCAGGAAAATAAACATTTAAAAAATATATTGAGAAAGTTCTAAATAATAAATCGATAAGTCACAATTTGGAGAAGGGTTGCAACTAATTAATCTGCTGATTATTTTCTAGATTAATGGATTAATAGTTTTGTGTCAGTGTCAGAAAAGCAAATAATAATTTCTCAGAGTCGAAGATAATGTCTTAAACTTTCTTCAGCCAACGGTTTAAATCTCAAAGACGTACTCTGACGAAAGTCAGGGGAAAGAAATTTTAGATTTTTGGCATTTCTGAAATGAATTTTTAAAATATGATATTAATCAGTTATCAAAATCGTTCAAATGTTTTCTGTCGATAAACAATTCAATAATTGATACATTTTTTCAGCTGTACTTAGCAATTTAGCAATCTTTCTTTTGTTCCTGGGAGAAATGGCCTTCCATATTTTGTGTGTGCCTACAAATTAAGGTATCATTAAATAGTGAATTGTTTGAATGGAGTTTGACATGGTGGAGATAATATGTTTTGGTTTCATCATTGAGTTGATTGTTGTTTGTTATTTTGTCAGATTGTCTATGTGATGCGAAACCCAAAGGACAACATCGTCTCCTTTTACCACTTCAGTAAAGTGTGCGGTGACCTGGAGACTCCGAAGAACTTTGAGCACTTTTTTGAGGAGTATTTGACAGGCAACGGTGAGTTACCTCAGAGTCTGGATGATGATGACCAGATCTGATAACCATCTGATTATGAAGAACTGACAGAAAGATTTGAAATAATTTTTAATGTTATGTTAAAAAGTCTGTATTGTGTGTTTGTATTGACAGTACCTGCAGATACAGAGAATTTGACCAAGAAAATTTCATCAATAAGTTAATATTGAGAACAGTTTAATATTTAAAATCTTAATGTGCTTATTGTTGAGGTTTCGGACAGAACAGACCCAAACGCAACGCTTGACAGTTTGCAAAAGAGGTTTATTGAGGGAAAAAAAGGGAGAGGAGAGACGGGAGGTGAAAAGGGGTAAATTGGACGCCGGCAGACGTGAGCGCGGAGGGCTCATGTTTTTAATAGTCACACAGCATTTTGAATATGTGGTTTGTTTGACACCTCTTGAACACCATGTATGAGCTAAACCCTAATGCTAACTCTCCTGTCAATAGTAACATTCTTATGTTTAGTAAGTGTAATGTTCACCACGTTCATCAAAATATATAATTAGGATATATCACCTGGGCACCATGGACATCTGAACCAAATTCTGTGTCAGTCCATGTGGTGGATAAGTATATTAAGTGTCTTCAAAATTTCATGGCAGTCCATCCAATAGATGTCAAGGTCCGTACCAAAGTGGTGGACCGATCCATCCCTGGTATGAAAACTGCAGAACTCCAACTTCAGCTTTTCTTGTACAGTACTGGTTGTATTTGCATGTTATTGGGTTACATCTATTCAACAGATGATTCATTTTAAATAAATTTAGAACATTAAGGGATACATTATACCTTTATACAGTTGTAGGATCATCCTGGTTCGACCACATCAGGGAGTGGCATTCCAAAAAAGACGAGTACAACATCCTCTTCCTGACCTATGAGGAAATGGTTTTGGTAAGATGTGTTTTCTCCCTGCAGTCATTCAGTATTTTCACGTAGCTTGGACAGTAAAATGGTGTGAGGAAGGGAAGGGACACTTTGCCACTTCATACCATAAATTAAAAAGGGCCACTTAAAAAATAAAAGCCTAATAATGATGAATTCTTTGTCAGAGTTTAGACTTTCTCTCTTTTGGGCCTCTGCTTCTCTTTTAGGACCTGAAGGCGGCAGTAACTAAGATCTGCATTTTCTTAGGGAAGAACCTGAGTGAAGCAGCCATTGAGCAAGTTGAAGAAAAATCTACATTCATGAACATGAAGAAAGACTCAAAAGCAAACTACGAGTTTCTGCCACAAGAGAATCTGAAGGGAGACTTCATGCGCAAAGGTAATCTAACATAACTGCAGCTCCTGTTCAGAAACATGTAAACAGATATCAGGTCTAGTTCTTGTTGTTTTGTCATTACAGGTAAGATCGGTGACTGGAAGAACACCTTTACTGTTGCTCAGAGTGAAAGAGTGGATCAACTCCTTCAGGAGAGACTCGGTGACCTGTCTCTGAAGTTCATCTGGGAATAAGCAGAGTAGCCGCACCAGCCATTCACTGCCACTGTGTCTGTATGTGTCTTAGATGTACATTATATAGAGTAGCTGCTAATGTGTAAACTGCTGATACATTTACATTACATTTACTCATTTGGAAATGACATGGAAATTTGGAAAAACATAAAAGCATCAACAGAGCATCAAATACACATCTACAACTGACAATACATACGAGTAAGAACAGCAATAAATACTAGTAAGAGCTCATAGTACATATCACATCAATGGGGTAAATACCTAGGGAAGGAAGTAAGAGTTAACAAAAAGTGCAATCAAAACAAGATAATTTTAGGGGATAGAAGAAGAAGAAGAAGAGCACAGGAAGTGCATGTTAGAGGTTAGGAGTTAGAGGTGTTATAAGAAGAAGTATTCTCGGAAGAGAGTTTTCAAGAGCTTCTTGAAGTTAGAGAGGGACGCCCCTGCTCTGATGGCATGTGGTAGCTCGTTGATGAGATGAGAACAGCCGGGACTGGGACTGCTTTGTGTGAAGGGATGGCAGTTACACATCACAAAACACTGTCTGACCCATGTTTGGACTTCTGTCCTGGGAAAAACATATGTGAGCAGAAAACACTTAATAAATGAGGTTGGCCAATCGGTTGTCTTCATTGAATGTCGAAACAAGTTAACTTACTTTTCTATACGTAAGGTGAAGACTTGCTGCGCCACTGGAGTCAACTCCACAGTTCAGTTCTCTTCATCTAGAATGAGGAGAAAAGTTTTCTATGAGCAAACAAAACAGGATTAATATGCAGGTTGTTCTAAGAAGGAGGAGCTCTAAGTTAATAGAAAACTGCTTTGTAAACACAAGAAAATCACTTTTAACATCGGTTTGTGTTCCAGATTTGATGTTTGTTTCCTGAAAACCAGCGTCTTGGAACAGATGCCTGCATTTATATTCAGACAAGAATAATAATTCAAAGTGTACAGGGATATTTTAATTTTGATGTTTTTAATTAAAGTTAATTAGGGCTTGGTGATATGGCAGTATGAAGTTGATTTATGATTTCTACAAAATGAAACAAGAAAAAACATGATTGTAATATAATATATTAAATAGTTGAGCATTAATACAGAAATACCTGCACTACTTGCAAGGCTGTCATCATTATGCACAATTTAAGTTATAAATGATAAATAGGTTGAAGGTTCAGTGTGTAAGATTTAGTAGCAAATAGTGGTGAGGGTTGTGAATTGCAACCAAATGTCCAGTCTACTACTGCCCCCTACCATTTCAAAGAGCACAGGACAGCTACGGTGACTGACAGCACAAAAGGTGTCTCTTCTGAGACAGCAGAGAGTAGCTAGTCAAGAAATTAGGTTTCTTTAGGTAGATATATTAAGAAATTATATTTACTTAATTATTTAGTAAAACTATATGTTATTGCAACTTGGCCGCTGACAGATAACATTGAAAATGTGAGCCAAGAGTGTGAAACACTGTCACAGTTTCTGCACCACAGTCCATTATACACCACACATTAGATAATGATTATACAAACACTGACAAGGGAAACACATTAATTCTCTCAGTGATTACTGACCCTCGCCAAAACTGCCTGCCAACAATAATATCTGACCTGCGGTCAGATTATGGTGCTTTGATAGCGGCAAAAGATAAAAATAAATAAATACTTTGATAGCAGTGCTGAAATAGATCTCAGTCATGACAGCAACAGTTACTCACATAATCACTTCCTCTTTAGTGGTTTTGCCTACAAAATAAAAACGTGTGAAGCAAACACTGAAACACAAAGACTGCAGCACACCCTGTAATATGAGAATTCATCCTTTTGGAACCATTAATTTCTGTGCCAATCCATCCAGTAGATGTTGAGATGGGGCGACAGGATCAGTCAGAGGATCACCAAAGTCAGTAGGCTTTATCTTCTAAGAAACATAACTATCTGTACAAAATGTTTTGCTGTTAGCATGGCCAAAAATGAGGCAAAATGTAAGTTACCTTTAGCATACATTTTATACATTCATACATATTTGTTTAAAAACATTAACCTTTTAAACTGTCTTCACTCAATATCCATGGTATACTATGTGATTTATCATTATGTCACTTTAATGAAAACTAAAAAACTACTATTACTACTATTTTCTACTCAAAAAAGGCAGAAAATGGAAAATAGAAATCCATAATGCCGTCTAATAACATGAAAAGTCATTTAATCCTAACTCTCAAACTGTTTTTTTCATTGAAAGCCTATGTATACCTTTTAATCACTGAACATATTCAAAAAACATTTATGATCTACAGACACAGATGAAATAGTGTGAAGGCCCCACATCTGCTGTTTTTCTCACTGTACTGGTTTTCTCAGCTTGTCTCTACATGAGATAAAGTACTTTAAACAAAACATGCTTAGACTTCACTGGGTTTTTAGAATAAATAAAACACCAACGCCTTGCTATATTTTAAGCTTCCTGTTGCTATCAGTGTGTATCCAGCTGACAGTATTTCACAGTATCAAGGAATATGTATAATCAAAGTCCAGAGTCCAGCTACTTTACCTCTGAGCTGATTGTTGTTTGTTATTTTGTCAGATTGTCTATGTGATGCAAAACCCAAAGGACAACATCGTCTCCTTTTACCACTTGAGTAAAGTGTGAGTGAGTATTTCATGGGCAACGGTGAGATACCTCAGAGTCTGGATGATGACGACCAGATGTGATTATAAAGAATTGACAGAAAGAATAGAAGTAATTTTAATGTTATGTTAAAAGGTCTTTAGATGCAAAGGTCAGCAGATGGCAAACCAAATACTGCCATCTGCTGGTTCCCTAGTAAATCACATTAAGCCTGTGGCAAAGAACCTTGGTGTCTGGTTTGATAGTAATTTAAATTTCGAGCAGCACACCACAAAGCTTGTTCAATCATGTTTTTATCAACTTAGAAATATAGCAAAAATTCGATCTATGTTAACTTTTAAGGACATCGAGACCATTTTACACGCCTTCATCTCATCACGCCTGGATTATTGCAACAGCCTTTTCACCTGTTTAACCCAAAAATCTACTGATCAACTCCAGACTGTCCAGAACTCAGCTGCCAGGCTTTTAACCAGAACAAAGAAATATGACCACATTACTCCTATTTTAGCTTCTTTACACTGGCTCCCAGTATGTTTTAGAATTGACTTTAAAATTTTATTGATCACTTTTAAAGCTCTTCATGGCCTCTCACTGTTGTGGTGTCAGCCCGGCTGACAGTGAGTGTCCTGGTTTTTTCTCCTTTTCATCAGTTATTCTGCTTTTTCCTTGGTTTTCTCTGTTCTCTGCCTGCCCCCCTGCTTCTCCTCCCCTGTGTGTGCTCTCTCTCTCTCCCTCCGCTCCTGAGCCCAGCCAACGACCTGCACCTCATCAGCCACCTCGTCAGCCTGCCACACCTGCCAGTAATCAACCTCATCCCTCCTCTATTTCACCCTCGGTTCTCCAAACCATCCTTGCTTGATCGTCATTGCTCCAAACCCGGTGCTGCAAGTCCTTCAAGCTTGAAATCACTGATGATCCTCACATTTCTCCAGTTCTTGTTTCTTACCTCCGCTGTCACTAACCCTGTCTCTTTGTCTACTTTCCTCCCAGGTTCACTCACCCTCGTCCTCCGTTCAGGCGGCTGGGCTCATCCTCCGGTCCTCTCCTCCTCGGACTTCCCCCACGGCGTCCTCCCTGTTCTCCCTCGCCTCCTCGCTTCCTCTGCCCCAGTGTTCCCCGGCCCTCTGGTCCCAGTCTCCTCAGTTCCCCGTGCCTGCGTTTCCCCGGCATCCACATCTCCCTCGACTCCAGTCCCTCACCCGCTTTTCCCAATAAATCCTGTCAAAACTGAATGTTACGTTTGGGTCTACTCTGTGCCCACACCACCCCACCCATAACACTCGCCTTGTTATATTTCTGACCTTTTAGTCCCATACGCACCAGCACGTACCTTGAGATCCTCGGGCAGAGGTCTGCTGTCTGTTCCAGAGTCTCGACTGAAAACTAAAGGGGACAGAGCGTTTGCTGTCAGGGCCCCGAGGCTCTGGAACAGCCTGCCCGAGGAAATCAGGTCGGCTGAGTCAGTGAACTCTTTTAAGTCCATTCTTAAAACATACTTTTATAGGAGAGCCTTTCCCGATCTTATTTGACTTTATTTTATCCCTTTTATTCTATTTTACATTTATCTTAAACGTGTATTTTAGTCTTTTCAATGTTTTCATGCTTTTATCTTATTGTTTCTATATTGTTTTTTGGGTATTATTGTCTTTACACTTGTTAAAGCACTTTGTAACTTGTTTTTGGAAAGTGCTCTACAAATAAAGATTATTATTATTCTGCTTTTTGGCTCCCCTCTTCTTTACTAAGTTATCGCTCTCTTTTTTGTGCATGTAACCAGTTTGCAAAGTGAAAAAGCCCAAAGGGAGTTCCCATCTCCCACAGAAAGCACTGGTCTGAACTGCTTGAAAACAGCTCGTTTGTAGTCCAGCCGTTTCCCTTCCTTCACTGTGATGTCACAATGAAAACGCATCATAAAGCTTGCCAAGCGGCAAGCGGGGTCAGGCACGCCCTCAGACCAAGCTAGTCTGAGCCGAGGCCCTTTGATTTTAGTTAAGAGCCTTTTCCACTGCATAGTACCAGCTCGACTCGCCTTTGTTTGGTTTTCCATTGTAGAAATGTTGCACATGTACCTGCTTCCAGGTACTTTTTTCCGTATCACCTCACCTCCGTTGAGGTTCCAAGCGAGCTGAGGGATACTAAAATGTAACGTGAAAACACGACAGACTGCTGATTGGTCAGAGAATCGTCACTATTCACTGCATCATCATTGCGTGCACCAGACAGAGGCCAGCAAGGGAATATATATTATACAGTTTTCATATGGAATTTCATCACTAAATCCCCTTCTGAGAAGTTTTGATGTGAGAAATCAGCTGTGTAGATTTCGAATATTGACAGTTTTACGAGAAGTGACGGCGGAACAGAAATGTGCTTGAATATTTTCAGAGTTGAAAAGTGGCTGCGGGGGAAGCCTGTGCCAACCCGCGGGAGGAGCGTGTGAGGCCGGCCAGCCGCCCGCTCACAGAGCCCTCTGCTCCCACCGTCACACAGACCGCTGCAGCAACAACGGCAGAGGAAAACACAGCTGGAAGGTTTTCATACCGCTTATCTGTCTTTACATTCTGAGTAATGTTGAAACGTTTTAACTTAAATAAAGAGAAAGTTGTGTGGATCACTGGTGTATGTGTCGCGTTGAGCATTACATCGCGGCAGTTGTGTGTGGCGTCACTATGACGACAAGCTACTTACTATCTCTGGGTACTATCTGCAATGGAAAGCAGGGCCGATTAGAGTCGAGTCTATCGATTTTGCGCTATGGTAGTATTTTTCGGTAAGGCAGCATAGATCGTCAGAACACCGGCAGCAGTTCAACGTTTAGTCCTAATAGACGATGCAATTCCGACTCTGTTTGGGCCTGGAAATTCACAATCACAACCTGTAAGTATGCTTTATTGGTTGTGAATTCTATTTAAAATAAACACGGCAATGTAACTTCACAGACTGTTCAAGTGCGGAGTTGTTGTAAACGCTGGCTAACAGCTAAAGTTATAACTATAATGCTAATGTTACACCTGATGTGAAAGCTACTTAGCAAACGTTTAAATTGTTTGGCCAATTTTTATGTAAAATTGAGTTGAAATATGGTGATTTTTGTAACTTAGTGGTTTATTGTAAGATGTGGACTTGTGAGTAACTTATACCATCTGCTAGGTTACGGTCGCAGTCTTAAGCGGCTTTGATTTGGATCACACTACCTTGTTTCTTACGATCCGCCCTTCTATGCTTCTGATTGGCCAGTAGTGCTTACCTGGGAACTGTGTATGTGCAACTCCCAACAAAGATTTTGTACAAGTAAGATGCATCACTCTGGAGCTCAAGAGCGGAGCGTACAATACACAGGGTGAAAAGAGGCGCTGCAGCAATGTGCAGTATGAGAAAAATATGGTATTTTTTGAAAATTAAACCATGTAAACCTGTTCTGATACAACCCCTAATTAAGATTTTGAACCTGAAAATGAGCATAATACCACCTCTTTAATTAATTTTGATGGTCGGGGGACAGACACCGTCACTATTAGGTTTTCACTAAGTAACTCCTGGAATGGAGGAGCAGAGAAGTGTGTTACACTGTGACTCTGCCTCCTGGTCTCAACTCTGGGTTGTCATTGATTTGGTTAGTTGGCCAGATTTCTAGAAATGAGAGCTGCTCCTTCCCAAGTGGGATGGATGCCGTCTATTCGAATCAGACCAGGTCTTCCCCAGAAAGTCTGCCAATGATCTACAAAGCTCACATCGTTTGCTAAACAAATCAAAGTCCAGCTACTGTACCTGTGAGATGAGAGGATTTTCTGCTCTTCTCTAGTCCCTTCAGCAAACATTTTCCTCTAATTTATTTCTGTATTTCAGAAGGAACATGGAGCAGATCACTGACTTTCTCTACAGGTATAAAAACTACAACTTTGCCATTGGTCCCACCACTGCAGAGTACATTGATTCACTCCAGAGTTTTGACATTCGAAACAGTGACATTTTCCTCGTCACTTATCCAAAGTCAGGTCAGTGAGACAGTCTCTTGAGACATTATTTGTCTTTACAGTTTTGTCCTGGCTGGGAGAATATTTTCTGATCAGGCATGACGTCTCAATTTAAAATATGTCCTATAACAGGGACTACATGGGTTCAGCAGATCATCATCTCCATCTTTGAGTTGGACGGGAGTCTGACTAAATATCCAAACAACTTTGAGCAGATGCCGTGGCTGGAGTACAAGGTGGATCCACAAGATTACGCCCTACGACCCTCTCTACGGCTCTTCGCCTCTCACCTCACCCCGGTTCTCATGCCTCCGGGACTGAAGGACAAGAAGGCTAAGGTCAGTGTTGTATTGAAGCCCAAACCTGAAAAATATATTGAGGAAGTTAGAATTGATAAATCGGATAAGTCAAAATTACGAGAAGGGTTGCAACTAATTAATCTGCCGATTATTACCTCCAATAACGGATTCATTGTTTGGTGTCAGTGTCAGAAAAACAAATATTAATATCCCAGAGTTAATGTTATAAAATAGAAATTTGTTCAACAAATCCAAATCCTAAAGATATTCAATTTACTATAACTAAATACAGGGGAAAGCAACAAATCCTAACATTTTAGGTTATGGGACTGTCTTCACCAGAAAAAAATAAATAAATACTATAGGTCGTTTGTGCAGCATGTTATTATGACCCATATTTATGTTTATTGTGACCAATAGTGGCCGTAAAATCATAGCAAGGAGGAAGTTTGGTGACATATAATAGATAGGCATGGAGGAGATAACAGTATGTAGTGGTTTTATCTCTGGGCTGATTGTTGTTTGTCAACATCGTCTCCTTTTACCACTTCACTGAAGTCTTCAGCGGCCTGGAGACTCCCAAGAACTTTGACCACTTTTTTGAGGAGTATTTGATGGGCAACGGTAAGGTGCCTCAGAGTTTGGATGATGGCGACCAGATAAGAGTGCAGTGCTGCGTATACGTTTTAAATATACAGATAACCATCTGATCTTGAAGAATTTACAGAAATATTAGAAAAAAATTTGAATGTTATGTTAAAAAGTCTGGATTGTGCGTTTGTGTTGACAGAACCTGCAGACACATAATTTGATCATTAACATTTTCATGTATAATTTAATATTGACAATATTAGCAGCACTTTAGATATGCAGTTCGTTTGACACCTCTCAGCCTCCATACATGAGCTAAATGCTAATACGCTAAGGTTTAGCAGGTGTAATGTTCAAGACATTCAACAAAATCATTAGGATAAATCACCTGGGCACCATGGACATCTGAATCAAATTCTGTGTCAGTCCATCTGGTAGATAAGTTTAAGTGTCTTTTTCTTCAATTTCTTGGCACTTATCCAATCACATCTCACATCCAATAGATGTTGAGATCTTTCAGTCCGGACTATGTATTTGCATGCTACTGGGATACATATATTCAAAAGATGCTTGATTTTTAAATAAATTGGTAAATTAAGGGATACATTATACCTTTATACAGTTTTAGGATCATCCTGGTTCGACCACATCAGGGTGTGGCATTCAAAGAGAGACGAGTACGACATCCTCTTCCTGACCTACGAGGACATGGTTTTGGTAAGATGTGTTTTTGGTGTGAGGAAGGGACATTTTTTACATCCATTTTATACCATGAATTTAAAATGCCACTTTCATTTGAAAATAAAACTCTAATAATAATAATAAATTCTTTGGCTTAAACTTGTTCTCTTTTGGGTTTCTGTTTCTCTTTTAGGACCTGAAGGCGGCAGTTACTAAGATCTGCATTTTCTTAGGGAAGAAGCTGAGTGAAGCAGCCATTGAGCAAGTTGTAGAGAAATCTACATTCAAGAACATGAAGAAAGACTCAAAAGCAAACTACGATTTTCTGTTACAAGAGAAGCTGAAGGGAGACTTCATGCGCAAAGGTAATGTAACATTACTGCAGCTCCTTTTCAGAAACATGTAAACAGATATCAGCTCTAGTTCTTGTTTTGTCATTACAGGTAAGATCGGTGACTGGAAGAACACCTTTACTGCCGCTCAGAGTGAAAGAGTGGATCAACTCCTTCAGGAGAAACTCGGTGACCTGTCTCTGAAGTTCATCTGGGAATAAGCAGAGCAGCCGCACCAACAGGCAGCAACAGATCCAAAATTATCTGTTTGTCTAATACCATTGATGTTAAGTTTCATTGTCATAATTTCTGGTTTGTAACACAGCCTCCATCACAGGCTTTCGACATATAGTAACATATTTAGTGCTCTGGCTTTTTAACTCTTCAGCCACTAAATGCTTTTAGTCATTTATCCATTTGCTGTATTATCTTTTTGCTTTACAACTTTACTTTTATCATTCTTTAAAACTAAAGTCATTCATTTTTTATATTTTTCCTTCCAATTTCTACTCTTGGTGAATTGACTACAGATAATTTCTTTGCCTCTGCTGTGAGTTTTCCAAATCTCAAAAACTTTAGGTACACATAATTATTTTATCTCACTTTTTATCCTCAAACTATGTGTATTGCATTAGTGTATATGTCCTGTCTCGGTCCTCATCTTGTGGGTCTTCGGATCCACCTTCTACATCTCCCCCTCCCAAGAGTATTTGACCATATAACACTTCAGAGACGTTTTAAGGAGGAGACACAGCACTCAATCACATCCTCAGTACAACTCTATGGGGAAAACCCTTACCGCCAAAGATGGTGGTTTACCCGTCTTTTCCGCTAGCAAGCCAATCGTCTGCTTTTAATAGCCACAGTAGGAAACACATTTCAGCCAATCGTGTAGTTCCACTAATATAAGGGTCTGTTATACTTGTACATGCGTAGTACAAGTATAACAGACCACCATGCAGACCACCATGTACTACCACGATTGCATACCACCATGCATAGAAGAAGGATAACCGGTCGGGAAAACCGCTGTTTAACCCTTATTTTGCAAGCATATCCAGCTGCAGCTCGCAGACGTGACGGAAGTTGAACTTCCAAATATGGTTTGTCCCAGAAGACACCTCACACAAAACATTATGAAGTTACAGTCGAATGCAAAAGTTTAGACAGCGACACCCCTGACAATTTCCATGATTTTCATTTATAAATAACTGGGTGTTTGGATCAGCTATTTAATTTTGAGCTATCAAATAACGGAAAGACAGTAATGGAGCATTCCTCCTAGTAAAACATCTCCAGTTCAGTTAGGTTTGATTGTTGCCGAGCATGCCTGCTTCAAATCACCCCACAGATTTTCAATGATATTCAGATCTGGGGACTCGGATGGTCACTCCAGAACATTGTACTTGTTCCTCTGCATAAATGCCAGAATAGATTATGAGCAGTGTTCTGGGTTGTTGTCTTGTTGAAATATCCAGCCCCGGCGTAATTTCAACTCCTCTGATTGCTCTACATTATTCTCAAGTATCTGCTGATATTGAGTGGAATCCATGCGACCCTCAACTTTAACAAGACTCCCAGTATCAGCACTGGCCACACAGCCCCACAGCATGATGAAACCTCCACCAAATATTACTGTGGGTAGCAAGTGTTTGTCTTGGAATGCTGTGTTCTTTTGCCGCCATGCATAACGCCCCTTGTTATGACCAAATAAATCCATCTTTGTTTCATCTGTCCACAGCACCTTCTTCCAAAATGAAGCTAACTTGTCCAAATGTGCATTTGCATACCTCAAGCGAATCTGTTTGTGGCGTGGGTGCGCTGAATTGTTGAACGATGCACAGTGACACCATCTGCAGCAAGATGATGTTGTAGGTCTTTGGAGGTGGTCTGCTGGCTGTTTGGCCTATCCAATATTTTACTTGGTCTGCAACTTCTGGCCTTAACAAGAACTGTGCCTGTGGTCTTCCATTTCCTCATTATGTTCCTCACAGTGGACACTGACAGCTTAAATCTCTGCGATAGTTTTTTTAGCCTTCCCCTAGACTGTAATCTTGAACAATCTTTGTTTTCAGGTCATTTGACAGTTGTTTTGAGGCCCCCATGCTGCAACTCTTCAGAGGAGAGTCAAAGAGAATTGGCCACCTTAAATACCTTTTCTCATGATTGGATGCACCTGTCTATGAAGTTCAAGGCTTAATGAGCTCACCAAACCAATTGTGTGTTCCAATTAATCAGTGCTAGTAGTTACAGGAATTCAAATCAACAAAATGGCAAGGGTGCCCAAATTTATGCACCTGTCTAATTTCGTTTTGATACATATTACACATTTTCTGTTCATCTAATGAACCTCATTTCTCCTTCAGTTATCTGATAGATCAGAATGAAATTGTTGATCCAAATACCCAATTATTTATAAAGGAAAATCACAGAAAGGGGTGCCTAAACTTTTTCATACGACTGTAATCTTGGCCCACGTACAAAGCGCTTTCTTGAGAGACCAAAAACAGAACTTTAATTATAATTCTGAGAAGTTTTGAGGCGAGAAATCAACTGTAGATATTGTATATTCTTGTTTTACAAAAATTGATAGCAAATGGAAAAATCTGCTCAAACGTTTTCGGAGTTGAGAAGCTCCGCAAGTTCCGACGGGTGTCAATATTATATAGCTGCAGTACCAAAGGCTGCACAGCAACACAACGAAGGTTAACCCTGTCTGCTAGCACAGCCGATGTGCGCAGCTGTAGGATTAACCAGTCAACATGCATAAAATCAATAACTTTATGGTTTAGGCACACACATACACACGTGATGGTTAGGGTAAGAGTAATAGGCTTCGGGGGGCTGTCATTTAAGAGCACTTTGGAACAAATAAACAACAAACAGTAGTATGAAAGGGGACTCTCATTTCAGGAATTATAGTATTTGTATACTATACTATATAAACTATAGTACCACAAATATGAACACATAAAGCGTTGCACATTGGCTTCTGGGATGAACCATATATGGAAGTTCAACTAATGTCACGTTTGTCTGTGGGCTGCAGCTGGACCCTTCTCTTATTTTGGCGCAAAGTCGTCTCTGAAGTTAGTCTGACAACAAGCAGAACAGCCGCACCAACAATTCATTGGCACTGCGTCTGTATGTTTTACTCCTACAACGGTATCTGCTAATGTGTAAAATGATATGCATCTCAAAATGCTTTCTGACCCATGCTTGAACTGAACATACATGAGCAGAGAACAACAACAAAAAAAAATTAAGACTAGAATAAATAGCAACTAAAATACAAACCTTAAAATAACATAAGAACAGGCAGCTCAGATAAAATCAGGATATGCTTTCTGATAAAAGTGTGTTTTAAAAAGAGATTTAAAAGAAGACACTGACTCTGAGAGCCTTACTTACTCGGGCAGGTCTTGTTTTCTCGCTTTCCTATATGTAAGATGAAGGCTTGCTGCGTCCCTGAAGTCCACTCCACACTTCAGTTCTTCTCATCACTTCTCATCAGTTTTCTATAAGTAAATAAAACAGGATCAATACAGAGGCTGTTCTAACAAACATGTTCTCTAAGTTAAAAGAAAACTGTGCAAACACCAGAAAATCACTTTTTACATCCGTTCATTTGATGTTCGGAGAGTTATTATGTTTCCTGATAACGTGCAGGGACATTTTAATTTTGAAGTTTTTAATGAAAGTGAATTAGGGCTAGGTGATAAGGCCAAAATAAATAAATCTAGATTTTTGTGTTTCTTGTTATCAGCCTGATATCAGTTTCTATTATGTTTTAAAGCCCCTTTCTTGGCAGTCTTTGGTTATTGAGTTTCTTGATAGCCATTGTGGTGGCTTCTTCCCTCGTGAAAATGCAAGATCAAGATGCAAGAAATAAACCTCATTTAGACTAATTAAAGGTTATATATTAAATTATTCACAAGATATTTAAAATTATATGGGTTACAAGGCTTAAAAACAATAAAATGCCATGACAATAAAGTTTGTTTGAAATTAATGAATCCAAATCATAAAAGATATTAGACTAATGTTCTGTCTAGAAGTATTGAGCTTTCTGGAGAAAAGGTCAAATTATAATATTACCAGATGGACCGATGGCGTCACCTACTCCCCTGCAGGTAGAGAGAAAGTCTGACTCCCTGTTCTCAGCCATCAGTAATATACTTATACTCATGGACTGTGCGCACACACAAACAGCTCAGTGTCAATTTTTGGCTCAAATTTGAGTTTTTATCAGTGGTTTTCAAAACATAGTACTTTCTAGTCATTCTGGGTTCTGGCTTTTTCCTTATCTCCAAGGTATTATATAAACTGTTTGGACTGGCTGGACACCTGGATTTTTATGGACTTTTATGGAAATATCCTTCTTTTGATAAACATTTGTTTCTCAGCCAACCTCACTCAGGTCAGAACAGCATGTGTAATCTGTAAATTTCACCATAAAGAGATTATATACCTACGTTTAAACTGAATACATTTCATATACACATGTATCCTCTAGCATGCATGCATGTGCGCATATACATACACCACCAACAAGCATTAATGGGGGGCATGGTCGCAGCCAAAATATACACTTATATACCATTCAAATTCATCCTCTGTGAACCATGAATATCTGTGCCAATCCATCCAGTAAATGTTGATATATTTCACAGAATAAGTGAAAACTTTGACCTGCTGGTGGTGCAACAACAGTTTTGTTTGTTTAGCACCTTAGTTTACCTTTTAAAACTGTCTTTGCCGCATTTGCACGGTATCCTGTCTGATTTATCATTGTCAATTTAGTAAAATATAAAACTAGTTCAAGTTTGTAAAAAACTGTTTCTCTATTTATCTACTCAAGAAAAGGCAGAAATGTCACTATAGATAATTCCCACTCAAACTGTTTTTTTTTCATTGAAAATCCATGTTTGCCTGTCTATCACTAAAAATAAAATAAAAAACACTGATGATCGACATTAAGGAAATAATGTGAAGGCCTCACATCAGTATTTTTAACTGGTTTTCTCAGTGTCTCTACATGATATTTCATGAAGTACTTACACAACATGCTCAGACTCCAGAGGGTTTTCAGAATAAACAAAAAACCAACACTTTGCTATATTCCAAGCTTCCTGTTGGTGTCAGTGTGCATCAGCATCACCATGTCATTTTTCTGGGGCTTTAGAACAGAGGCTACTCGCAATAATGTTACTACATATTGTTTGAAGTTCACATAACATGACGCCCTCATCGGGATGTTTCCATATGAAGTGGCTCTGAGCTGCATTTTATCAGAGATGCTGAAGTTAACATTTGTGTGTTGTGATATGTGGGGAGGTTTCCTTCTGATCAGAAGTGTTTTCAGTTTTGGGTTTCCACCTCTGATGAAGAGCAGCGCGCTCGTCTCATCCATATAGTCCCAGACGGGCTCTGTGTCTGTCAGATGGTCTAAAGGGGGTAGCCTGCTACCTTGTCAGCAGAGCAATAACGCAGGGTAATGCACAGAAGGTAGATTTTGTTAAAATATTTTGACTTCATTCTCATCAGATTGCAATTTTATTCTCATAATATTATGACTTGTCTCAAATATTATTCTTCAAATGTCAGAGAAAATGTGGGAGAGATTCTAAGTGTGCAGTTTTAAACATGAGCAGAAAAGCTGTTGAAACACAGGAGCTATTAAAATCCAGGAGTTTCTAACCCCGCCCCCATATTAATATTATCAGTGTTAATTATTATTAGTAATTATAAAAAGTATGTAATGAACATGTATTTATATGGCCTATGATATTCAATAATTAAAATGTAGCTCAATGATTTATAGGTAAAGTATAAGGGGTAAAAACATTAGATTTCTGGGCTGGGCTAAGCCGCCTGTCAGGATGTGTGTGGTTGAGGTTGGTGGACCCAAATGCAGGACACAGAGCGGAGCAGGTACAGTTCAAAGGGTTTAATTCCAACAAAAAGGGTGAGCACAATTACAGAAAGTGGCCAAAACAAATCCAAATGAAGGTATGGGGAAACACAGATCCAAACTACAGGCAGGCAAGTTTACAGGCAGATATCCAGGACGGAACGAAAAAAATCAGAAGACAGAGCATTAAGCTACAAACTACATAAGACAGAGCAACAGCATATCACCCTTTGTATGAACCCACCCATTTTTCACCTGCCTGGAACAGCTTCACAAATGAAAAATGCAAAAGTTTGGTGATGTTGATGGGTCGCAGGCTTGAGGCAGTTATTGCAAGCTAGGGTTATGCCACCAAATATTAAATGTTATTTACTTTAAGATTATTTGTTTGTTATTTGTCTGGGTTGTTGCCCTCCTACGGCCTCCTCCACGTCTCCTGATGTACTGGCCTGTCTCCTGGTGGCGCCTCCGTGCTCTGGACACTACGCTGACAGACACAGCAAACTTTCTTGCCACAGCTCGCATTGATGTGCCATCCTGGATGAACTGCACTACCCGAGCCACATGTGTGGGTTGTAGACTCCGTCTCATGCTACCACTAGAGTGAAAGCACCGCCAGCATTCAAAAGTGACCAAAACATCAGCCAGGAAGCAAAGGAACTGAGAAGCGGTCTGTGGTCATCACCTGCAGAACCACTCCTTTATTGGGGGTGTCTTGCTATTTGCCTATAATTTCCACCTGTTGTCTATTCCATTTGCACAACAGCATGTGAAATTGATTGTCAGTCAGAGTTGCTTCCTAAGTGGACAGTTTGATTTCACAGGAGTGTGATTGATTTGGAGTTACATTGTGTTGTTTAAGTGTTCCCTTTATTTTTCTGAGCAGTGTATTTAGTTATAACGTTACACTGGTTTGTGATTCTGCAGGGTGTGTTGACTTACAGTAGTTTAAGCTGTCACTGATTGCATTGTACATTATGGTTGTGCTCTGTAAGTTAAAAACAGGTTACGGCTTTATTGGTGACCATGTAACTTTACAGTATTATTTAGTTAACTTTACACTGGGTTTGAAACTCAACAAGGTTTGTTAACTTACATTAGTTTATAAGCCATTGACAGTCATTAATTGTAGACGCATTGTACATTAGGCTAGATGGTTGTACAGACAGATTTATTGCTGATTATGCAACGTCACAGTTTTATTGACTTACAGTATTTAATAAGCTGTCATTAATTGTATTGCGCATTACATGGTTGTGCTCTGTAAATGAAAAACTGGTTAACAGTATTCCTTCTAGCTATGAAGTTTTATTAGCAACCTGGATTGAATGCAGCAGGTGATACAACATTCGTAATAACCACGAGACACTTGAGACTTGACTTGGACTTGTGAGCTCTGGCAAAACATTGTATGTGCAATAAACAATCACACAGTTGGATAACATAACACATAATCCATGCATTCCAAGTTCGTGTGCTGTGTGACATGTTGACGGGCATGTAATTAATTCTTTTTCATTTCCTTTGCCAGAGCCTCTCATACGGCCTGCTAGCAACACTGTTCGACTGGCCGATTGTGTTTTTGCAAAATATGTAGTGTGTGTTCTTCAAAGGTCTGTGTTTTTGTGAACTGTGAAATGTGAAGGCCGCAGCCTGAGAGCAACAAGACTGCACCCTAAAGTTCACTGTATCTTTCAATAAACATCTTAAACTTTTGTTCTGGTTAATTGACATGTCACATATCTGTCCACTAGTGTGAGAGATTTGTAATACCAGACGTAACCATTAAGAATAATGTTTGTTGTTGTTGTTGTTTGCAAGCTAGATTAAATCAGTTTGAACTCAAATTGAGCAGAAAGGTCCACACACCAATTAATCTCCTACCGTTTGTGTTTCTTGATATCAGCCTGATTTCTGCAGACAGTTTCTATAATGTTTTAAAGCTGGATTGGATTGAGTGCTTCCTAAGTTAAAAGTAAAAAAAAGACAACAGTATTAAGTCTAACTTTAATCTATTCTGTCAAACATTGACCAACCCTTAACCGCACTGTTCTGTTCTTTGGTTATCTTTCTGTGGTCACAATATTCCCATTCTAAAGTTCCCGGCACTAGACAAATGCACACACAACTTTTGTCTGTTAGCTAACATCCATGCATGTTCCCATAAATGGAAATGTTGTGCAGAAACCATAAACTATTTTTAAAGCTATTAAGTAATACACTAAATGTCCAGTTTCCTAAACGTTTGGCTGGCTTAAATTTCATCACCATCAACAAACATTCATGGGGGGTATTGTCGCAGCCAAAATATATAGGCCTACCTATATACACCATTCGAATTCATCCTCTGTGAAC